TACCTGGCATGGCCCCTTCTTTGCAGGGTTCTGCGTGAGGTAGTCGACATGCCATTGAGGAATCTTGACCACAGAGAAAAGGTGGCAGAAGACAGCGACGAGCTGTTCGAGCACTGACTGCTCAGTCTTGTCGGGCAGAGGCTCTTGGGATCCATCCGAGTTTTCGATGTATCTCTTGCAGATCTCCTCAACCAGTCGAGAGCGGAGGAAGTTCACCACAGCAAAGTTGGCGGGCTCAGCGTTGAAGAGACCTGTCCGTCAAGTCATTCGCGCTGTTTTTCTCCCCCACGTTAGCGTTTCTTCCTTTACCCCTCCCTCTTCCCCCGCTCTCAGTTGCTTACCCGCCATGATGCACGCCACGTCACGCGGCGAGGCAGAACTGTCCAGCAAGCCTTCAAGCTGGAGGTACTCAGCGGCAAACCTGAAGGCGAAGGCGTATTGCTTGGCCATGAGAGCGCCGTTGGGGGAGAAGAGAGGCATGTTGACCATGCGCGCGACGGCCTCAGCGTTGTGGTTCCTCACGGCATCCACTCGAGCCCTTTCAACGTCAGCTGCCTGCGACTTTTCTGCCGCTACCATGAGCTCCTGCAGCTTCTTCGCAGCTGCGGACGCAAAGCGGAGGGTCTCGAGGGCTGACTCCTTGAGCTGCTTCTGCTTCGGCGATCTGTCGTCGACGAGTGACTGCAAAATCCCATCGAGCTTCGACTCCGGCGTTTCGAGGAGCGCACGTACAAGATCGCGTGAGTTGATGTGAGTCAAAGCTGAATTCTTCTGCTGCTCTATGTAGGCCGCCCTTTCCTTGTCGCTCATCTTGGCGAGTCTGTTCTGCTCCTCCTCGGAGACAGTGATACTCTTGGTGGATCTCCACTCGTCCAGCAGCACTTTGACCTGATCCTCCACCTGGTCGATGAAGCCCTCACCCTTCTTCCGCTGCGCGATGATCTCAGCCTCCTGAATCGTGCGGATGCTGGCGTGTTTGACGAGCATGCGCAGCACGTAGGTAGCGGTCAAGAGCATGTTGCCCGAGAGGCACGGCAGCTCCGAGTTCAGCAGCCGCTGGATCTTCTCGCGTCTCAAGCCCATGAACACCACGTTACCTCGGAGATCGAAGCCACGACGACCCGAACGACCAGCCATTTGACGGAAGGTCATGGCATTGAGAAACAGGGAGTCGCCGGCGAAGACCGAAGTCTTGGTTGGCATGTTGATACCCATGGCGAGCGTCTCGGTCGATACGACAATGGCCAGGCGCTTCATGCGGAAGAGTCTCTCGACTGCCCTCCTGTACTTCTTCGAAAGTCCGGCATGATGCACTCCGATGCCTCGCAGCAGCGCGAGATGCAGTGGATCCTTAGGGTTGAAGTACTTCCTACGGAACCCGGTGGCGACCATCTCGTCCACTTCATCCGGCGTCACCTGAACCTGACCAGGAGGAATCAGAGCAAAGCGAGGATCCACAGCCTTGAGCTTCGCCAGCTTCGCTTCGGCAAGCCCGAGGTCCTGCATGAGCTCTTTCTGCTCATCAGTCATCTCCTCGCTCGAGTCCTTGTCCTTGCTCCACCCTTCCTTCTCCAGCTGCTTCATCAACGACTCAACCTTCTTCTCTTGCTTCGCCACCTTCTCGGCATGTCCATCTGCCAGGTGCGCTTGCTCCTCTTCCTTGCGCAGCTGGCTCTCTAGGGCCGTGGCAAATCTCACGCAGTTGTCACGGATCATGTGGAAGACGATGCAAGGAAGCATGTCAGCCTTCTGGAGAGATCTCGCCATGGGCAGGATGGACTCAGTGAGGTAGTTGCTCTCCGACTTGTTCGTTAGCTGAGTCTCGATGTGGCTGCATGCGTTTTCTGTAGCTTGAATGATATCCTGCAATACTTTCTTCTGCGTGGTGTAGGTCATGGAGCAGAAGTACTTCTTGAGCTCAAGCTCCCAGCCCCTTGCGTCCCTCATGCTGATATTGAAGCAGGGATCAGATAGCTTCTGGAAGTACTTTTGTGGCGACAGGTCCTTGAGCTCCTTACTGTCATCCGCTTTTGCCATGGCATCATACAACTGAGCACAGTGCTCGGGAAGCAGCTTCATGTCTGACGGGAACTCAAACCTCTTGCTCTCAGTCAGCAGCCGGTTGATCGCCCATAGAGGATGCAGCATGACGATCTGGTCCTCAAGCTTCTCTCTGTGCAGCAGAGATTTAGTTGCGATCGAAGCAGCAAGACATACCTGTTGGTCCAGATGAAGGGGGCCAGGTCGTTGTACCTCTCGTTGTGATGTACGAAGTGTAGCTCCCGCCCTCGCTTCTTCTCCACATCCGACAGCCAGTCTCGAAACCGCCCGATGTCTCCAAGGGTAGCGGAGAGGCCGATGAAGGGGGCGGAGGTGTAAAGGAGCATACGCTCCCAAATCTCTCCCCCCACCATTCCGACCGAGTGAACTTCATCGAAGATGATGTGGCGTATCCCCTTGGCCCACTCAGAGTTGGCAGGATCCAGCAGCATAATTTCCAAGCACTCCGGCTCAGCGACCAGAATCTTTGGGCGAAAATGAGAAAACTCATAAGAGGACATGGAAGGGGGTGCAAAGAAGGGACAACAAATGATGAAACCAACGTGAGCATGCGGAAAGAAAGCGAAGAAGGGAACAATTGGTGAGATGGAAAGAAGAAAGCAGGCAAGAGGTTCACCTGACACTTGAGATGCTCCTTCCGATAAGAAGTGTTGAATATTCCCGTAAGATGCATGTCGCCGTTATAGCGCTTGGTGAAGCGAGCTTGAATCTCATGATAAACCTGATCGACCAGCGCTGATGTCGGAGCGACATAGACTACAACATCCGTATCGTTTGCTCGAAGGCACATCTCCATCACATAGTAGGCAATGAAAGTCTTGCCAGATGCTGTCGGGGCCACCACGAGGGCTGAGTTGCCCGAGTCAATGATGTCTAACAGCTTTCGCTGCCAGTCGTCAGGCTTGAAAGGCACGCGTTCGTCTCCTTCTACTCCAGCTGGCCTTCTCAAGTGCTCAGGAGCAACGGCAACCTGATATCGGATCGCAGACTGCTCAGGCAGCTGGACGAGCTTCTTCGGAAGCTTGCTCGACTTCTTGTCGTCATCGTCCTTGTCTTTTTTCTTGTCCTTCTTATCCTTGGCAATACGTCAGTCACGCAAGGAAACACATCACAGGCAAAACACCATCAAAGCATCAACAATACGAGGGACTTACCTTCTTATCTTTCTTGTCTTTCTTCTCTTTCCCATCACCTCCGCCTTCCCCATCTCCCTTGCCAATGTCCTCAATAGCCTTGGCAAGATCATCAAATCCTAGGGAGATTGCTGCTTCGACAAGATCGTCGGCTTTCTCGCCGGTAACGTTTGATCTGCAAGTGACCAAGATGCGCTGCAATATGACGAAAGCGTTTTTGATGTGCCGCTTGACGAGCAGGTCTTCCTTCTTGTCGCGTTTGATGGCCTCAAGCACATGCCCAAGAGCTGTCATTTCGGCCTCAATCGCTATCGACGGGGCGCTGTCATTGATACACTGCTGAGCGCAAACTCTGAGTTCCTCAAGATGCTTCAGAAGCGCCTCATTGTCTGTTTTGAGGTCTTTAGGCGCATGCTTGATCACGTGGTCCAAGTTAGCCCGCTTGTTGGCTTCCACTTTCTCCAGCCTCTTCTTCTCAGCCTCAGCCTTGATCGCCTCAGCCTTGCCAGACGACTGCTGGCCCTTGCCGCCCTTCTTCTCTTTCTTCTCCTTTCCAGGTTTGGCACTGTCAGCTTTCTCGGAGGGATCCTTTCCTGTCTTTGCCATTCGTCTTTCCATCTCAGCATCTTTCACCAGCCTCTCTTTCGCAGTAGTTTTACGGCGTTCAAACTCCTCACTAGTCAGTGGCTGCGCGATCACTTGCCGCTTCAACGGAGTACCAAGCAACAAAGAATCTATGTATCCTGATGAGAAGCGAGCGCTGAGCTGAGCTTGTCGAGCAGCGTTGTTCCATTTGTTCACTTTCTTAATCACAATTTCTTCCTCAGAAGTCCTGTAGGTGTAGGGATCTGGTTCATCCCCTAATGGCTCCACGTCCTTGTATCGACGATCACGGAACTTGCCCAGCACGTGTTTGCTGTGGTCAAAGTTCTTGTTCTCTAGATCCGACATAACAGATGCAAGATCTCCTTGCACGATGTTGACAAGATGCTTTCCATCTAACGGCAAGAGAGTGTTTGAACACGATTGGCTACGAGCTGAAACAGCTGCGACCATCGCCAAAATGAACTCTTTGCTTGCATTGGCAGCCTGCCCTGAAACAGAGCTGACCATCTTTCCGCACTGAATCTGACCTCCAGGATAGATCAAGTCAATCAGCTTCTGAGCGTACGATGACACGTTAGCATTCAACTTCAAATTGCCTTCAGCCATTGTGCGCGCAAGGAGCGCATGAAACATACGCCCGTCAACGATGTCCGCCAAGCGATTGTCACTTTCCTTCGAAACTGCTGCAAGAAGTTTTCCTGTTTTGCCAGCGGTCTGTGGATCTTCCAGGCAACAAGCAATCGTTCTGAACATCGCTTCAAGGAAAGAGTTTGCTGTTGTTCCCCAGCCGTCACTCTCACTGCGCCATTTCTCAATCATATCAGAAGAAAACGAAAGAGAACGCTCCTTAAGAGAGGAATATTTGCACATGGCTAGAGTCAAGCAGAAAGTGACAATCATGTCTTTCGTCTGGTCGCCTCCCACCTCCTTCTTTGCAGCTGCCTTGAGAGCAGCGATGGCAAGAGTGTCTCGAAGACTTTGTTCTACGATTTCGATCGCACCGATATCCTAACAACAGCATAAGATTCACCAGAGAACATGCTAGTGAATTCAAACATACCTGATCGGATGTTGAGACTGCTTTCAACGCTTCGCTCTCCTTCGCAATAAGCTTAGTAAGCGCTTTTGAGATCTTCTCGCGGGAGTATGGAAGTCTTGGAGGCTGCATGTTGTTGCTCATAGTACGAGATCCCTCCACTTCGAAGTCAGCGAGTGTGACGACTTGGTGATGAGACCCGTGGACGAAGTGGACAAAGCCTCTGGTGATGGCAAGCACTACACGATCTTGGATCCCTTTCCAGCCAAAGTCAGTCATAATGTATGCGGGGCTGGCGTGGTCGATCATGTCGTTCCAGTCCTGCTTATCACCCCACCATGCGCCTTCTAGCATGAACAATTCAACAGCAGGCGGTTTCGACTGTATCTGCTGCAGCTTGTTAACTACAAGGAGGTGCTGGATAATTATCTCGCGCATCGCGTGGGCGGAAGGGGCCAGGCGTTTCCACAAGCACGAGTTTGACTTGAAGAAGAACAAAGAGAAGTTTGCTCCTCGGATGCTCAGGTCATGTAGAATCTTCTCAAAGGTGTGCACGATGGGAAGACTCTGACCTCCAGCAGACCAATCAAGATGCGACTCTGAAAGAGCTTTGGCCACCAGCGCATCTCCATCAATCAAGCATTTCTCAGCCGCTCCGAACTCTCCGAGGAAGTCACAACGGATAATCTTGATGGCAGCATAGCTGAAATCCATCAGCTGATCTTCAGGGGGGAGGTTCTCATCGTATTCGGGAGTGTCGTCATCAACCTCGGTGATCTCATGCTCCTCCTCCTCCTCCTCATCCTCATCGTCGGACAGGAGATCGACATCAAGCGTGGGCTCATTGCCCTCACCAACATCAACATCAACATCAGCCATTTTTCCTGGCCTGTATTTTCAACCTGTCCGTTCAATCCAACCTGTACTTGAAATTAGAAAGAACAAGAAGCACACAGAAGAAAGCATCTAGCATTTCCTACAAGGGGTCAAATAGACCTTAAGTTAGTCTTAATTTCATTGATCTGCTTGCATGTCGTCTTTGGTATAAAGACACAGTTCTCCTTGTGCATTATGGTGCGCTTGTCTGCCACTCAACCTCAATGCTGACGTGGAAAAGCATCAAGCACGTGAGGGGTGTGAACAGTCAGTGATGAGAGATGTGGAGTGAGAGGGGAGTGATGCATCAGAGGAAATAGGGGCTGGACGATTGTGAGAGGGTGCAGGAAGAGCATAAGCGCTACAGGACAAGCCATCGACTCGCGGCTCTACCGTTCCACTCTCACACACCCGCCATTGCGGATCCACACAGGAAAAAAAGTTTTGTGATGCCACCTGAAGGTCAGGCAGAAGGGTGGGTACTTACCCCTGCAGGGAAAGATTTTTTAAGGAGGGTAGTAGAGGTACTGTAAGGCTAGCATGGGTGGGTAGGGTGATAACTGGACTAGGGTGGGGATCTAACAGAGGGGTAGATGATACACCTTGACCAACAAGAAATTAGGGATACACTGAGGGTGGGGGTGGTAAAGGGAATGCAAAATATTATGCCGGAAATAGAATTTTGCCAAGCCGACCGTCACCACCGACTGAATTACTTTACTCATTATCCTCGTACTGACTTAACTTAACTTTGAGTAAAGATCGGACGGTCGGCGGCGGCACTCCAGGACTGAGGGCCGTCGGACTCGGGACCGCACTATCCGATGATCGGGCCCGGAGGCTCCCGGAGGCTCCCGGGCCGGGCGACTCGGACGGCCCGGGTCCAGCGCGGGGGCGGGCCCCGGCCCGGCCGGGAAACTCGCCGGGTCGCAATCAGCCGCCCGGCCGCGGGCCGCATCATGATGGGCCGCTGCACGCCGTTGCCACCCGGGCCCGGCCCGGCCCGGGGGACTCGATCCCGGCGGTACTACCGTCGTCCAAATTCTATCGAGTCCGATCGGCGTGCACTGTCGGAGCTGATGCCATGAGCGGATCATCACAAGTTGGCCCCCCCCACCACCCCCCTCCGACCGAGTCCCCGCTCCCGGAGTCCCCGCCGGCCTCACGACTGAGAGTCCGAGCCTCGGAGCCTGAGTGACTCAGTGCCGGGGCGCCTCGGGTCCGACGGTCGGACTGGCGGGTCGGCGCCTCCGAGGCTCCGGAGTCCGGCGGCGAGTGTGACGAGCCTCCGTCTAAACTTGCAAATGACTCAGTGTAATTTAGCTTCATTCGAGCGGCGAGTCTCCTCAGCCGCTGAGCTGGGGCGGTTGGCCTCTCAAAGCTCAGATCTGTCTTGTTCTTGCGGCAAGGCTTCCGAGATGGGTCCGATTGCATTTTCCCACGTGCCATGCTCATAGACGAAATCGAAGTCGTCAAGCTGGCAATGAAGAAATCATTGCACATAATCACAGAGTATCTCGAAATAACAAATAATTACTCCACACTCCAACTAACCTTCAAGCTCCCGTTTACAGCACTTTGAACAAACCAGAACACAAATTTGGTTTTGGATGGCAGAAAATCTTCGGCTGCACTGAAGATTACTCTTGCTTGATCAAAAATCATATCCGAGCGATCATGAAACCTGAGTTAAAGTATTCGAAGGAACGCCCAATCTTCCAATTGCTGATTGAACCAGTTCGAAAGGAGTCAGCACAGCAGCAGAAACCTCGGAATCGAGGATGTGAAAGGCAGATGCAGCAGCTTGTCACCTTGCTGATCCGTAGTGGAGAAAGGATCTCTCATAAATCTATAAGTGAATGAAATGAGCTGGGCGAGCATGAAACAAGCTTGGGTTACCTCAATTCTGAAGGAATCTTGATACTTGTCCAGAGCTTGTTTTGGAAGTATATACTTGTTGTTAAAGTCTTCATGGATGTGCGAAGTGTGCAATGCTCTTCGTACTTTAACCTACAAATTTGTAAATCGCAATCTTCGGTTGGATAAAAGCAAGTCAGACACGACAAGAAGCAATCTTCTGTTGGATGAAAGCAAGTCAGACATGACAAGAAGGACATTGTGCTTTTCATTCGGTTCATGGTGTTTACAAGGCAAGACTTCAAGTATGACATTACACAGTCAAGAATTTGATTGGTGTGAAATCTCACGTTAGGCGAAGCATCAAGAAAAAGATGCAATGACGAGGCAGTATCTCCACCAACGTCTCCAACAACAGCCGGGATCATATTCAACAAGTTTTTGTTCGGTAGATCCCGAAGATCAAGAAATAGCAACCCGACCCAGAGGTACCTAGGAATTCAGAAGTGTGTGAGGAGAACTCTTTAGAGTTCAATGAACAAGCACGGCAATTCAGCTAACCTCAACAGAAAACCAGTTTTGTGATGTCGTCGGCCTTGGTGTGTTCCAGCTAGATTGTAACCTTTGATAAAGTGTAATGGAGAAAACTTGGCAATAGGAAACATATCGCCTTCTAGAAGGAAACTGCATGAAAAGCACTCAATCCCTCTGAGCATTGCAATGACTGAAAGAAACTAACTCACATTACAGAGTCGTTGTACTTGATGAGTGCAATCTCTTGAACTGCCCACGTTACAACTTTGCCGACAATATAAGAAGGATCGCTGTGATCGAAATAATCCGGTGTGATGAAATGATCTGCTCCTACTGAAAGGCTGGCACGTTCGATCTCTTTTCTAGTATCATGTGCTTGAGCGTCATTGATCACGATCAGCTTGAATTCATCCAGCATGAAGTGGCTCAGCGCTGTATGCTGCAAGAGCACAAGGTCTGGTCTGTTGCAATGAAAAGTAAAGATGATCACTGGTTCTCTTCCCGGCTGCTCTCCGCTTTTGTTCGCTGGAATGTATGGAGTGTACATGGAAGGTCCTACGTTTCCTCTTTGGCCGTGTGCTTGTGCATTGCTCAGCCGTTCCATGGCTTCTTTCGAGACTATCTTGCATTCTATACTCGATGACGAAGAAACGTTAGTTATTCCCTCCTCTTCTTCATACTTTGCTAGGAAGGCATGCACGTGAAGGAAAATTCCAGCTCGAACATCCTGCATTGACACGCGGCCATCTTCCGGCCGTGAAACGTGCACAACCAAGCCGTTGACCATGATCACCACCTGTAGGCCCTGGTCTGTATCTTCCTGCAGCCCTTTCAGCTTCCACTCAACCATCAAGCTTCCTTCTTCTATGAGCTCGCCTTGCTTTGGTCGTGAGATTTGTATGCTCGCAATATCACTCAGTATGTCTGATACGCCACCCGTTAAACTCATCGTTATGCTCATCATGAAAAGAATCAACCAGACATGCATCTTTTGTGTCTCAAGTACCCCTCTCATCCTGATTTCAAGCATACCTTCCTCCTCTTCTCATCAGGCTCGGTTGTCCATCAGATTGCCCATTTTCTTTTCCGCCCCTAAAAAAAAGGTTTGTTTTATGACCTAAACCCGAAAATCGGATACATATGTATAGAAAGAATAGCACGGATTCTATATGGAGCCCTTTCTTTTACTTAAAGTTGAGTAAACTTTCTTAGTTAAGTAACGTTGACAATGCAGGAAGCACAATGAAGAGCATCGACGCCGCCCTAGAGCAAGGATGATGGTGTTCTACATCCGATCACGTCTTAGGATCATTCTAGGCATAGTTGTGCATTACTTTTACACATCTTTCAATCATGATAAGGATAGAAAACCTTTCATGTTAGAGAAGAACATGGTCTGAAAAATAGTTGCGCATTACTTCTACACATCTTTCAATCATGATAAGGATAGAAAACCTTCATGTTAGAGAAGAACATGGTCTGAAGAATCATACTTGTCTTGTTGAGATTCCCAAGTTGTCATTATCATGATGTCGTCCATCCCCAACTGTCTCCAATATGCAAGTCCCTTGAGCAACCATATCACGCTTGTTTCCTTTGTACACTGCACGATCATCCACACCCTAATCACAAAAGCATCTTCAAGCTCCCCTTACCCCGCACTTGTCCCATGATCCCATCCCCATGAACATTATAGAAGTGACAAGGTGTAATCGTTGTTGCATGCAGGATAGCATCCAACTTCCCAATGTGTCTGTACCTGATCCTGTCAAACCTGCGCATACTCCTTCACCCCCATCCCCAGTTATCTGGTATTGCACTTGCATGTTTGTAGACATCTCCGACAGGTACTATGCTCTTCTGTATTGCACATAAATGTATTACACTAGTAACTACACCAAAACATCTCTACATCCTTCGCCCTCGCCCGCTCTTCCTAAGCAGAAGTAAATTCCTGTGATATGTCAAGCGAGGGAAGATCCTCTTGTACGACGAGCATGTTTGGAATGTTAGTTCTGGATTTTGTTGAACTTTATGGGTCACCCAGTCAAGAAACATCACTGGCGTGAATTTTTCAAAATGGATGGGATTAATTTGCTTCTGTAACATTATACTCTCTTCATGTAAGTTGTAGTTGGTAAACTCTCGTCCGTCGTCGCCGGCTCTGTCACCTGATCTGATCCGTTCAAGAATTTGTCACGTTCTTCACGCATGTTCGTTTTGAATTCATCAGTTATGAGAGCATAATACTCGTCATTCGCGTACAACCATTCTATGAAGCGTATCATGTAGTTCATATACATCTCTCTGGTCTTCTCCGATACATTGTTCTGCTGAATGCGTGTACGTCTTTCCTCGAATTCTCTCCGCTGTTGCACACATAACACAGCAGCTGTGGATTGAGGACGCTTGCAACCTCGCCGTGCCCAAGGCTGCACCGGCGATTGATCCAATGGGGCTTCAGGTTGCAAGACGTTTTCGTCTCCTTCCACAGCAAAAGCTGGAACAGCCTGTTCCCCTCCTACCTCTGGCCCCGTTGAATCACTGTCATGAACCTCTTCCATTACCTCCTCCTCATCCCCGGAGTCCCCCCGATCCTCTTCCGCCGTCACTTCCACTTCAGCACTGCGTAAGACACTTCCCTCTGCGCCAGACAGACCTATGCTTCCGTAGTTAAAAGCTTGGTGCCGCTGAAGGACGTAATACCCCCCACCCCAGAATTCTGTTCAAAAGAGGGGTACTACTATGAATCCATCTTATTCACGTGTTTGCTTTTTTTAATTTCCTTTTGCTACTACCTGGGTCCTATTGTTTGATATGTACATAAGTAGCTATATACAAATGAAAAAAACGAATTTGATGGATTCCGTCGGGCTCTACGGTTTGCAAGCCCCTCATACAGCCCGCACATGCCCAGTTTTGGTCCGTGACGGACCGTTATATTACAGATACATACCTTTACTTACTACTGCCAACCATTTCCGCCGGGAGCACGCCTCGGAGCGCTCCTTTACTGCTCAAAGTTAAAAGTGACTCATCAGATCTCGGGAATAGCCGCCGGCACAGCCCGGCCGTGGTCCCAGGAAGTTGAGTGAAGCCTAACGGATCCGTTCGGATAAAATGTTTTCATCTTGAAGGGGGGAATAAAAAATGCTTTTTGAATTATCTTCTAAAACACTTTTAATCCTTGATATCCCAAAGACGACAGGTGCAGGCTGACCTTGGCTCATGACCACCCACCCCCTGGTTCGTCTACTTCCAAGGCTGTCCAGTACCCCACCAGAATCTTCATTCCGCCACCCATGTCAGCTCATGATACGTTGCTGCGAACCAGTCTCCATGTGACCGAAACCAACTACCCCTGCGACCATCTACCCCCCATGCCAAATGTCTCCATTTTGACCGACTACCACACCGGTACTTTACCTTCGATGAAGTGGTCGATCTAGGGTAGGGTAGGCGGTCGGAGGGGTAAAGGGTTGGGGGGTGGGGTAGGCGGTCGTATCAGACATGTCCGGTTGCTGATGAAAGAGTCGTGCTGTCAAGACTGAATCTTGACTATGTCGCTGAATATTGACTATATCTTACCCTAGCTTGACTATATGGAAGATGCCTTATTGTTGATTGACTATATACCCTGAAAGATATCTCATATTGACTATATACCCAACAGGTCTTAGAATGCAAAGCGGTCACGCTTGTAATGTTCCGTTTGCGTAAATTTCAGTAGGAGTCGTGATGCATGATGGCTGATGAATTGTTTATCCGAGCAAGATAACGAAAGAAAGACACACCCAAACATGGGTGTAGAGACAAATTTCGTTATAAAATGCAACGCAGGACATAGTTGTCTATAGGATTGTTCATCGTTTACAGGCTACAGTGTGTGCTACATTTCACTTCTCGAATAGTCATCAAATGACTTCATGCGATAAAAGAAGAAATCGGAGCACGAGCAGGTCCAAAATCCGATGAGAATCGAAGTGTGCTCAAAGAAGAGTTGTACAAAATCAACGCGAAAGAAAACAAAATTCACATCAAACTGTTGTCGGAAACAATTTCACAATCGGCGTTACCGACAAAGTCCTCATGAAAGAGCAGACTTAGCTTGGATGGGAAAGCTAGATTGTACGTGGCACAAAGCCTCGTCGAGTAACAAAGCGGTAGAAAGTCCAAACACTTTACGTTCGCCAGACGACCAAGTGCTGTTCTTCTCCTCAAAAACGTTGCCAAAATTGCTTGCTGTAGGTCGCGACAGACCTGCAGTAGATGGGCATTCGTGATCATTAGCAGAAGTATCTACTGTTCTCTCTGTTGGAGAATTGGATGATACGACTTGTTCATCGAAGTCTGATGGTAGCCATTTTCCAGACGGCCATTTCTGCAACCCGAGCTGCCGGCAAGCAGTTTTCAGTGCCGTCAAAGAAATGCCCTGAAACAAATAAACAACGCATCAGAAAACTTGCTTCGATTTTTTTCTCAGACCATACCAGATATCCAGCAGCATCTCCTTGCCTCAAATGAAATAAAGAGATGATGTCTTGACGTGTTAGTGTAACAGCAGTCCGCTTCAGAGGATGTACTGACTTTCCATGCTTTCGCCTTGGTACGATCCGTGCAACCTTTTCTGAATTATTCAAAGGCTCCACCTTCTTGATGTCGTCATGCCTCGATGAGCAAAGTGTAGTATCTTCCATCGAACAAGTATTCAATGATTTCGAGAGCTATCAGAAATGGCTGGAGTTCTCTGCAAAACAATCAAAGCTTCTTGAGAAAGTTCTTGGAAACGGTACGGAGAGGAAGGTAACAGCTGATGAGAAGGGAAAGTGACGGTCAGAAGGAAGTATGTTGCGGGGTATGGGCTAATCACAGTGCGAGGAACAAGTGGGAAGGAAACAATCAGCAGTGTACTACCATTAGGCCCTACTACCGGGAGGGATAAGGGTTAATGAAGGGGTGGTAAAATGTACGCAGTAAAGACCAAGGGGAGCGACTGTTTTGCAGGGGTACTATTGTCATACCGAATTCACAGGTCTAAAAGTCGGAGACAAAGAGGGGTACCTTTTATTAGTAACGGGGGTACGAGTACGTCCTTGGTAACAAAAAGTTGGATACGATGCACGGGGTGGGTATCGGTAGTTGTTGGTGGGGTAGTGTCGGAAGCTACGGGTGAAGGGTTGTCGCGCGGCATACTCATCACAGACCCTACCCCTTGTGTGTGAGGAGTCAACAGGCTTTACTCGGTTACCCCTGTATTGCACTCTTTAAGAAGGGGTGGGCAGTACCCTGTGTCAATCCAGAAACTCCAACCAGCTGCTTCTTTACAACAGGAGGGCGAAGAACTTGGAAAGACCTACTTTCGGAATCGTTGATCATCGGTATGACCATAAAAACACAACGTTTCCTGTCATTCTTCAGAATTACAACCCTCGGGCTCCGAGACTCCGAGTCGACTCTGCTTTTAGAAACGATGATTGTTTAATTGGAAAAATACAGTTTTAGTAACAATTATCTGTACCAAGCAAGAGTTCTTGGTAGTAATGTACCTTATAGTAATATTGTATAATTAAGTAACACTTGAAGGCAGCAGATGCGATTTGACCAGCCCTCAGAGGCCTCAAGACCGCGTCCCTTCGGCTCGGACGGACGGATGGCTCAGCCGGCCGGGCTATCGGGCCGGGCCAGTCTTGAGTCACTACTGCCAGGCAGTAGTGCACTACTGCTCTGAGTCAGGGTACTAGCATAGGCTCGGCGTTGCCTGGAGATAGCGAACGAATCTGTTCGTCCTGTCTCTGGGGCGGGTTTGTTTGGTTCTTTTTACGTGAAAGGGGCAGTGCAAGGGACTGGCATGGCAGGGACGCGAGCGCTCTTGGTGGTTGGCTTCCTGGCAGCGTGTGCTGCTGCCTCGTTGTCAGGAGCCCATGGCAAGACCGAAAGCATGCGAACACTGGAGAGAGCTGGTCTTGCAGGTGTCGACCTACTGAAGGCAGCGCAGGAGATGAGCGAGTGGGTTGTGAAGGTGAGGCGGGAGCTACATCAGCATCCCGAGCTCATGTACGACCTCAACGTCACGACGACCATCGTGAAGCGACTACTAGATGAGATCGGTCACGTTCTTCTTCTGCCAGGTCATGGTTGCTGACGAGGATGATGCAGGAATCCCTTACGAGTTTCCTGTCGGTAAGTCTGGGATCGTGGGGCAGGTTGGAAGCGGGCTTGCACCTGTCGTTGCTCTGAGATCAGACATGGACGCCTTACCCGTGCATGAGAATCCCGATGAAGATACGCGTGGCTTTGCCTCGCTCACCGCAGGAAGAATGCACGCTTGCGGGCACGATGGGCACATGTCCATGCTTTTAGCTGCAGCCAAGCTGTTGAAGGAGCGGGAAAGTTTGTTGGTAGGAACAGTCAAGCTTGTGTTTCAACCAGCAGAAGAGGGAGGAGCTGGAGGGCTTGCGATGGCTCTGGATGGAGTGCTGGAGAAGCCTCATCCCGTTGCGATGATGTTTGGCATGCACCTCTGGCCTTGGATTCCCTCAGGGACTTTTGCGATGAAGGAAGGACGGATGTTTGCAGCAGCCGGGACGTTTGAGGTTGCAGTGAGAGGTAAAGGAGGACATGCGGCTGCTGGCATCGGCGTTGATGTCGTGGATCCCGTCGTTGCTTCGGCTGCAATCGTGACACAGCTTCAGGTTAATCTCGTTGAGGGAGGGCACCAGAACTGACAAGCCTTTAGAGCATCGTGTCTCGCGAAGTGCACCCAAACGAGCAAGCGATTGTGTCAGTGACGAAGATAAATGGAGGAGACGCGTATAACGTCATTCCAAATGAAGTCGTGATCGGTGGGACTCTTCGGTGATTTTGATATTCTTGAATTTTCTGCATGTGTTACATTTGTTTTCGTTCTTGGCAACAGTGCATTTTCTCGTGATGTGTATAATCTGATTGAGAGACGAGCCAAGGAAATCATCGAGCTCACTGCAAAAGCTCATGGTAGAATTCTTGTTCAGCATCGAAAAGGTGACAATCTTTTGACAGGCTGTAGTGTAACATTGCACTTCACAAGCTTCGCCGATGATTGTTTGACAACCAAGGGGTCTGACATCCTCTCTTCTTCTCCTATCACTCTAATATGCCTGTCTCTTCTCGTTTTATCTATTCTCTTCTCTCTTCTTCTCCGCTCTCCCTCCTTGACTTCCTTTCACTCTTTCATCTCGTCTCGTCTCGTCCCTCATCTCCTTCTCTCCCCAGACTGCCGGCCGCATTTGCCTCGGGCTGCACTTATCCCCCGGTGACTTCGACGTCACCTGGCAGTGGCTTATGCTGCTGCAGGTCGTCAACGACGAGGGAGCTGTCGAGCTTGCTCGGGTCTGCATGGAGATGCTGTACCCGCATCCTGATACCCACCCACAGGACGTGGCCAAGACTGTGGTAGAGCAAGACCGAGTGCTGGAGGCGAAGGCAACCATGGGAGGCGAAGACTTCGCATACTTTGCGGAGAAGTACACTTTTGCCTTCCTCCTGGCCTGATCTGAAATGCTCCTCTTCCTCAGGATTCCGTCCGCGTTCATCTACATCGGCATTGGCAACGAGACCAAGCGCACGACAGCAGGATTGCATAGGTCAGGGCTGGCGACAGACATCCCAGTGTTTCTGATCCCATCAGCAGCCCCAACTTCAAGGTCGATGAGAGTGCTCTTCCTCTCGGTCCGTCCTCGTCCTCCTCTATAACCTGCAACTCACTCCTCCTTGACCTCAGGCGCTGCGCTGCATGCATCCCTTGCCGTCCGTGCTTTGGCCGAGCGAGGAGGGATCAAGGACCTGACCAAGACTGACCTGTGAAGGGATCGCTAGGTGCGGACCAGCAGCACGTAGGAGGGTGGGGGTTGGGAGTTTTGAACGTGCGTGAGAGGTGGATGCTGGTCCCTGGGGCTTCACTTCACGTGTGACCCGCTCGGAGGTCTGTTGGCATTTTCCAGCCCTCAGACTCCTTTGCTGCACGTGCAGCCTCCCCCCCCTCCATGTCATGAGCGACGAGACGGCACGTGTTTTGATGCTTCACTTGTACAAGCTCTACTGTACACACAAACGTACATTCAGACGCCTCCTGGATCACCGATGTCTGCTCCCTCAAGCTAATTCACACGATCTTGTTCTCCCACTGCGCCTTCTTCTCCAAGATGCTCTTTCGAGCTTGCTGGGCCTGTTTGAGGTCAGGCAAGGAGGAGTAAGGAGAAGCTAACCTTGGCACGGCTTTGCTCGAGGTTTCGCATCAGAGCGTCGAAGGTGGAGTTCTCATCGCTGCTAGTCGAGGCATCAGCGTCAGACATGGTCAACCTCTCGCACCTTCTCGACGTCCACGTCACCTCCCCTCTGTCACTCTCGTTCCTCAGACTCTCTCTGATCCTCTCAGGGGGCGCGTAGCTCTTGCCGGCAGCATGAGCATGCCTGCTGCTGACGTCCTCGAGCCGACGAGCTCGTTCCCTGTACTGATCGAACGTCCTGGAAGCTTCTGATATTGAAGACTCCACGGGAGGCTCCTGTCTCGGCACAAGCGGAGGTTTCTTTCCTGACAGCGGCCTAGCCCACATGTCAACCTGCTGCGGTTGACGTCTTGGGGCTTACCTGACTCGATCGGCAGGAGCAGCCGGGAGGTGGCTGAGCGAGGAGGAGCTGTCCCTTGTGCTGATCGTTTGCATCATCTGGTTCAGCTCTGTCTCCCAGCTGCTGCTGCCCTTGTCAAAGTCAAGCGCTGCGAGGGGGTTCAGAAGCTTGATCCATTCCTCTGCTTGCCCGTGGCTGCGAGTCTGCGGCTCCGGCTGAGGAGCTGGGGGGTGGCGAGAAGCTCCGCGAGCATGCGACAAGACTTCATCCAGGGCCTCGTCCAACAACCTGAAGAGCCTCTGACTACGACCATCTCTCGCGTCTCACTCTCACCTCTGCTCTCTGTCGGGCGACTGAGGCCTGGAGGGACGAGGTCAGAGCGAGCATGGCGCGAGCGAGACTGACCGGGTCCAGTTCACTTGGCTCCTGATGGACTTGGGCGACGAGTCTTGCTCGGCAGATGGCAGCGTCACCTTGGGGGACAACCTGAGAGCGGACGCGTGTCCAGTCATGACAGACTTGGGGCTCGCAGGCTCGAACGAGGTAGCGGCTCCTCGCTCTGAGCTCATCGAGCTGTTGGAGAACCTCCTGCTCTCACTGAACCAGCTTGGGGCTTCGTCTCCTGCCGCCGGCTGGGCATGCGGCACAGAGCGAGGGAAGAGATGCTGATGGAGCAGGTCTGAGGTCGGTCGCGAGTCTACAGTGGACGAGGAGCGGGAGAAGCCTGGGGTGCTGGCGACGCTGGAGGAGCGGGAGGGTTTCATCTGCAGGGAGTGAGAAGCCTCTCGAGTCGGGCGAGCATCACATCGTCACTGAAGTAGTTCAGCTTGCCCGCGTCCTCCAGTCTGCTGAGGCCCTCTCCTGCTGGGCATCAGCTGCGGATGTTCTCGAGATGTTTCTCTCACTCTCAAACTCCAGAGGGCGTCGAGCTCTGCTGCTTTCCTTCTCAAACTGGCGACTCAAGTCGTTAGCCCTCCGCTCCTGCTCTCTTCCTCGGCCTCCTCTCACCCTCGTGCTCTTCTTGCCCCTCCCGACCTGCAGCACCCTTCTTTGATGCACATCCTTCGTCCCGCGGGATGAATCTGCTTGCGACCTCAGGCCGTACGCTCCTCCCTCGCTGCTGTCACGCCGCTTTCCGACTGACGTCAGCTTGCTTGCGGCAGCCGGTGGCGATGACGCACCTTGCTGCCGTACTTGGGGGTGCGGTCGTCGAAGTAGGAGAACTTGGCCATGTCGTCGAGGTCCTTCATGATGGCGCGTTCGCGGGCGTACTTGTCCTCTCGGGAGGAGAGGTGGTCAGTGGTAGGGAGGCTCTCCTTGTGGATGGAAGGCATCCAGCTATCCTCGTGGCGGGCCTGATCAAGAGCTCAGCGCGAGCGAGCATGCAGATGCGACGGACAGTCTTGGAGGAGTTGAATGAGATGGGATGAGCCTCCTGTGCTGCCTGCTCGCCTCGTCATTCTTCGCGAGCTTCAACTCTCTTCACCTTGGGGCTCGCAAGGAACTGCTTGCGCTTGGGGCTCGGAAACGAAATCACGCTCTCAGACCTGTAGGGGAAGGGATGAGCCGCAAGGAGAGCGTGCGGGCCACCATGCCGGTGCAAGTCAATCTCGGGGAAGTCGGTCATGGAGTGACGCCTGCGCGCAGTCACTAGCGAGCTCAAGAGGTTCGACAAGACTCGCATGCTCCTGCTGCTCCCCGAGCCATGCGCCGAGACCTCCTTCTCATGCTCGGGAGCACTCATAGACGTTCCCTCCCTGTGCAGGACCGTGAGATTGACTCGCAGGGTCTAAGGGGCAGAACCTGAGCACGCTCACATCCCCGTTCGACTTGCTGAGCAGAGCTTGCTTCAGGGCTCGATTCTCCGCCCGCAGCGCTTCGATCTCTTTCTGTAACTCCTTGACCATGCTCTGCTGCTGATCCAAGAGAACGACTGTCTCATCGTCAGTCGACCGGTGCACGTCATCGCAACCCGAGCAGGACCAGGCTTGTTCTTGATGTTCTTAGCTCGGCTCGCATACTCTAGAGTTCGGACGCTTTCGCTCAGGTTGGTGTTGGAGGGTGAGATGCATGCCAGCATGATCTGCCGGGCGAGTCATCGCGATGAGGATCAGCGGCTTCACGGCAGACCGTCAGGCTCGTCCCTCCAAGGCTGTCCATCAGCAGCTGCGTCAGCTTCGAGTCCCGATAAGGAACCTGCCGCACGGTCAGGCGGCGCTGCCGTCGAGTCTCGACGTCACCTTGGTCCGCTTGCGGTCGCAGAGGGAGGAGATCACTTTCCCGAGGGTGAAGATGGACTTGTTGATTGCTCCCGTCTCCTTCAACGTCGATCCCTCCGACTTTGAATACTCCAGTCGCTCGCTCCCAGCCTGCCAAGAACAGCTGGATGAGGCGGGGGAGAGCTGGAAGCGCAGCTCCAGGCTACCAGGTCGACAAAGGAGATCTTGCCGTGCCTCGTCACTATCCCGTCCTCCTGCTTCTCCATGGAGTCGACGTAGAGCGTGAGGAGGGCATGGCTGCGAGACGAGTCTCGATTGAGCTCATGCCCTGCGACGCTTCTGTTCTTGAGAGCTTTCATGTAGAGCTTGAGAATTTCCTGCCTTGGTCTCACTAGGCAGCATCGTCCTCCCTCCCCTCACCTCCTCGGACGCGCACTTCCCGTACGAGAGGTCTTGCACGAAGAAGCATCCTCTCATGGTGTCGAACTTCACCGGCAGGTGCTGCTTGTCCCTTGATCTGTGACAAGCATCAAGAGCCTTTCAGTCGCCGACGCTCATCGCTACCCTTTACGATACTTGAACAAGTCGAGGACTGACTCGTTGTATATCTCCACACAGCTCGCGCGGATCTAGAGGCGAGGGTGAGAACAACAGGGGGGGGAGGCAGGGGAAGTGCCTTGAACTGTAACCCGTCTCTCTGCAACGAGCGGATCTGCAATGATGACGTCATCGAGGAGGTCAAGGGAGAGCGGGAGGCTACCTTGGAGAACAGCGCCTCGACGCTGCGGATAACGATCCCGTCGGACACATCTCCGCTGCCGTTTCGGAGGATCCGGTCAACGCTACCTGTACCTCACCTCAACCACTGCAGCCCCTCTCCCTCCCCTACCTGTGATGGTGTACGTCTTGCCGGAGCCCGTCGGCCCATAACTGGCAATGAAAATGAGTTGAATGCAAGGATGTGATTCTCGGAGAGAAGCAAAGAGGAGAGGAGAGCAGAGCAGAGCAGAGCAGAGCAGAGCAGAGCAGAGCAGAGCAGAGCAGAGAAGGGAAGACAAGAGAGGAGAAGAGAAGAGAGGAGAAGAGAAACAGAAACAGAAACAGAAACAGAAACAGAAGAGAAGGGAGTAGGGAGAAGATCAAAATAGAGCAGAACAGAACAGATTGGACAAAAAAGAGAAGATTACGCGAAGATGGTCGATGAATATCCCTCGAGCACGTGATCGAGCAACGGAAGCACCCCACACTCTTCGAACAGCAACTCTTGTGTGCATTCGGGTCCGAAGCATCTATCAAACTGGTACGCCACTGACTTTTGTCCCTTCCCCTTCCCGTTCTGCTCGGCAACCTGCGTCGTGAACAAGTTAGCCAGCCACTCTCCTGCTCCCACAAGCTGACCTGGACCGTGTTTGCCCTCACGCAAGAGATGTTCTCGTCTTCACCTCTTCTCAGCTCTCTTTCATCAAGCGGTCGAACCCGCACGATGACGCGGATGTTCTCCGATTCTCTCAGCCCCATTATCTTCGTCTTCCTTGCATGACTTGACTGCTACTGTAAGCCAGCGACCTTGCCAGCATGCCCCAGCAAACGGCAGAGCCTGAGAAGGACGATAGGAAGAGCAAGCTGAGCCGGGAGAGGACAACCCAGCTGAGGCTATCAAACTACAGCAGCAATCTTCTTCTGCGCAACTTTCATCGACGAGCTCTCAACATTACCCGCCATGCCCCCCCGGTCACTGCGATGCGACGCCATGCTAACCCAGACAGCGGCATAGAAGCTCTGAATGTAGGGCCGTTGAAGCCCCCTGGGTCAGAGGAGGGATGAGGCAGCAAAACTCGGAGTCAGTCTAGTCGACTTAACTGATACCTTCACTTAACTGCGCGGTAGTACCACCGGCACTGGGCCGGGGCGGCCCGGTCCGGTGACTCCGAGTCGGCAGTGACTGAAGCTCTGACCAACAGTGAATTATTGCAGTTGAGATGCCGGGGAGGGGGTCATATGAGAGGAACGAGGGTGGGTTTGAGGGTGGGTAGTTTGACTGGCGTTGGAACATGGAGGGCGAGGGACCGTCGAAGGCGATGCTGGAGAAGGAGAGGGAGGAGCGAATCCGAGCCCGACGAGAGAGGATCGCCGAGAAGATCGCAGCGCAGAAGACAGGGATAGACCTGCAGGCCCAGGCTGAGCTCAAGCGGAAGCAGGAAGCCGATGCGCTGCTACCACAAAAGGGGCTGAGCGAAGTAAAGAAAGCGAGGGCGAGGCTTTCCAAGTTTGCAAGTCAGAGGGATGAAGAAGTCACGGACATCAGAGTACAAGCTGATGATAGAGAAGCGCAAAGAAGGACGAACGAAGAAGCGTTGAGAGTTGACAGAAGGCACAAGCTTCTCTTTGAGGCAGAAAGCAGCGCAAGGCGGAATGCAGCAAGTAAGTAAGCGATGATATGGTGACACTACCTCACTCTTGAGTGCCAACAGTTGCTATGAAGTGGTCTTCTCTCTTTGAGATCGACGTTCCGATGGACTTGCACCATGACATGGAAGCACAACAGACAGCTTGCTGGCGAATCATCGAGGCCAAGGACAACCTGATTCGCGATTGTAAGTGCAAGACCCCTTGATCTTGGTCATACGAAGATGTCCCATCGCTTTCTCTCTGTTGGCCGTGTATGTCAGCAGCTGTTGACCCGACTGTCATGCGTTCCACCTTTCTTGACCTCATCATCTGTCGAAACTGACTCTGCAACAGTTCAAGTAGAACTGAAGAACAAAGATGAGCAGTATGTGAAAGCTTTGCGTCAAGGGGTGCAAGACCTCGACAACCTCCAGGACTCCATGGCAAGAAATGCATCCCGACAACAAATGCTCTACGAACAAGAGCTGCTCAGCCTAGAAAGCAATTTCGAGGCGGAGAGGAAAGAGTTGATCGAACAGTGCAGGAAAGAGTGGGACAAGCTCTTTGACAAGAGTTTGCAGCAACAGTAAGAAAATTCTTCCAGTCAGTGATGCCTTTGACAACCTGGTGCAAGGCTCCGTCAGAAAGGGGAAAGAGAGAAGCGTGTGGATCTCAATCAAGAGAAGCTTGTGGTTCGAGACAGTCATCTTGTCTTGACGACTCTTTGAGTTTTGTTCACAGATCGTTCATCGACACGACACAGAAGATTTTCATACTCTCAAGGTGCGGCTGGAGACAGAAGTTCAGAACTTGGAGCAGCAGCTGGAGGACATGAGGGCGACTTACCAGCTCAACACTGAGAAGCTCGAGTACAACTTCAGGGTCCTCCACGAGCGGAACGAAGAGAACCAGAACACGATCAACGCAAACAAGCGCAAGCTTGCAAGGCTACAAGACAACCTTTCGAACCTGATGGCGAAATACACTACTCTTGATAACAAGTACAAGGCAGAGAACAACGAGCTCTCAGAATCGTACCAAAGATACACCCAATTCTTCATGGACCTCAAAGAAAAGTTGTTTCACTTCCAGAAATCAGATTCCAAACGCTACTTTGATGTCTGGAATATGCATGAGCAGATGATCAAAGCTAAGTTGCTGAAGAGCTTGCAGGCTGATAAAGTTTGTGCTTCTCTTTGCTCGTTCTCTTCCTCACTTTCTGTATTCTTGGTGCAGATCATCCATGAACAGCAGCTCGGCCTCCTGTGGTTTCCGCCGAACGAAGAAGAGCTGAACCGAGTGTTCACCAAGTTCCGTGAAAGGGTGAGAAGATGTGCGGTCCTGTCTTGGTCTCCGATGACGTTTCGATGTTCAAGGAGTTTGAGAAAGTGATGACGAGGATGAGGAAGGAGGCTGGGAGAGACGGCTTCAACCAGTCTGAGGACATGTCATGGGATACTGTTCTCAAGTCTCAGTTGCTCGAGTCGCCGGTTGCCTTGACGCTACTTTTGAACTTGTCTGAGTCTCCTGCTCTCAGGCCATCGAGGACATGTGCCAGATGATCTGCGACAAGACAGGCTTCCTACTTGACTTGCAGGTCAAGGACATGCTGAAAAAGCTGCAGAGAGACAAAGGAAAGCTCTACCAGATCAAAGTGCGGCCCTTTGCTCATCCTTTCCATCCTCCTCACGCTGAAGTTGCAGACTGTCTTGAAGGCCCTTGGAATCTCAAAGGTCGAGGACGTCCAGCTCCTGCTCTCCTTCTTCCGCTTGGACAGCGACGAGGGCGGGTCAGAGTCGCACAGGAATACCTCTCCTGCCTCGAGCCACGAGGTTGACCTCATCAGCGACGATCAAGTCATCGACGCGCTCAAGCGTTTCGTCCACTACCGAGGGGAGCTCAAGATGGAGCTGACGGGGACCCACTCCACCTTCGGCCTGCGCACGCAGAAGGGAGGAGGAGCGCTCGAGGAGGTCTCAGGAGACAGCAGCAAGCATCTCGAAGAAAGAGACAGCGAGCGGCAACTGGGAGAGAAACCCCGCGAGACCAGGACGGGCTTCTCGTCCAACCACCTGCCTGCAGGAGAGCACAAGAGCGTGTGGGAGCTGTGCAAAAAGGTCGCATCTGATGGCGGGTAGGAGAAGCGACGTATGACGAGGGGGCAGGTGATCTCCCCCGACACGATCGTGGTGTGGAAGCAGCTCGAGCGGTTTCAGAAGCAGTACAACGTCATTCTCCAGGTGACCCTCCTCCTAGCCTGATCATGAGTGACCTCTGGCGCAGGAGAGAGCCAACCTGATCGAGGAGGTCAACACGCTCGTGCAGCAGAACAAGGAGCTCAAGATGCTGCTGTGCGTCCTCCTCGCCTCCTCCTCGTTCCCCAGCGTTGACGAGCTGCCGCAGGAACCAATATCTCACCTCCAAGGTCAACAACCAGCTCTACATCCCTCCCACGGCGACTATCTCTCGTGTGGACAGTTGAGAACCGGGCTTGTTAGGAGGAGGATCAGTAATGACGGACAGCGGTCGAGGCCCAGGAGCTGGAGGCGGCTCCCGAAGCCTCAAGGGAATCGGAGGCTCTAGACTTGAAGATACGTTGGTCAAGGGGAGGAACGGGAGGGCAAGCGGAGCACAGCGACGTGAATGGAGCAGACGATCTCGCAGACGATTCGGGCCGGGGCGAGGCATCTGGCCAACTTCCACTGCAGCGATTGCCGAGACTGGGACTTCCTGGCTACTCAGTAGCATCGGAAGCTACCATGGAACATTCATGACCCTTTCCGCACCTCCAGGTCTGCTCAAAGTGCTCCGTGCTGCCACCGCAGATTCATGAAAAGGACGCTTGCGCCATCTACATTTTAAAATCTCTTAGTTGGGACAGTTAGCGTGTACCTAAAACTTGATGATCTTCAACTTGCCACCTGTTTCAATCCTGAAACGGACCTCAATGCGAAATCACAACCCGGAGAACTAGAGAGAAACTTAGTGACGGAACTTTGGGTTGAATATCATCGAATGTTACAACAGAAATATGAACCCTCCCTTCATCTCACTCGGGGAGAAGGAGCAACCTTCAAAACGTATGGCACCAGCTACATTGCTCGTTATCGACTGCTCACTTTGTACCGCGACACGAAGGCTCTCTCTCTACCATCATTTTCCAAGCCTTTTCTCAGCAAACCATCATAGCGGCAATGAGTAGCCGTAACGATCCCAGTAGGGATAATGGAAGTGGTACAGGAAAGGGAACGGGAAGAGAGAGGCGGTGCTAGCTTCGAAACGTCCGATGATGGCGAACAACGGCAAGGCTCTGCCAGCCTTCTTCTGCCCCGTCACCAACGAGATCATGCGAGACCCTGTGTGCACCTCCGACGGAAAGACGTACGAGCGCGAGGCCATCGAGACCTGGTTGAAGAATCACGACACAAGCCCACCAGACGCTGTACGATGCCTGGGCCCTCCCCATGACGGACGCGATGATGACGCTCGCGAGGGACGAGGCGATGTTCGACCCCTCCGGCAGGATCCTGCACTACAGCACCGAGGAGACGATCCAGCCGGCAAAGAACGGGACGCTCTGGGATGTCTGTGTCAACATGCTCTCGCAGACCCACGCCATCGAGGAGGCCGTGGAGAAGATCCTGGGCACGGCGAAGCAGCTCTCCCCCTTCTACAGGGGCTTCCGGGGCGGGGAGGTGAGATACATGCCCTCCAGCAGCGTGAGATGCAGGGAGAGGAGGTCCACCGCCATCCCGGCGCCCTCTTCCACCATGGCGTCGAAGAGCGGGGCGAGGATCGAGATCGGCAACAGCTACTACTACACCGTGAGGGATGGAATGGCTGCCATCAACATGGCCTACTACGGGCCCTTCGGGCAGAACGTCTCGGGCCACATCAAGCGCTGCTGCTGAGGGTGGGCCACGACCAACAATCAGAGGTGCATGGTGGATGCCACATCTGCACGGCGGGGTCCTACGTCAGCTTCGACGACTGGGTGACGGTCTACCGCGTGATGGAGGTGGTCTGGAATGCCGACTGGAAGTGCCCGGACATGGCCCTCTCCGACGTGTGGGGGGTGGTGAACAGCGAGCAGATCGACCGGTGGTTCGGGGGGCTCGATTCAAGGTCGGGGATCACCTACAACTACAACTGGGGCGACTTCCTGTACGAGGGTCCGTCGGGGGGTCCGCCTGTCCAACGGCGAGTGGCTCTTCTCCAACTACCACACCGTCCTCAACCCGTCCCAGCGGAGGCATCGGATCTACAACCCCGACACCGACACATCCGTGGCCATCGAGGACTGCATCGACGACTCGGTGTCCGATCACAGCTTGAACGGCTTCAAGAGCTACATCGTGAGCCTGGATGACGTCTCGCAGTACTTCCGCAACCACCTGATGCCGGTGATGAGGTTGGTGCACACTTCGCAGCCCCCGGCCTTCTGCTCCCGGTTCATCATCGAGCTGGCGAGGCTGAAGGCCCTGCTCTACGTGGGGGATATCGCCCCGGACATATCCGTCTCCCAGCAGATCGCGGACCAGCGCACGACCGTGGACCTGTGGCGGCTCCGCTGCAGGACTCAGGTGAGGATCGTCGAGCTGTGCAACCTGCACGGGGTGTTCAATGGAGGGGGAGGCAGAGAATCTTCTATAAAATCGAAGCACGCGCAACGCCCGACACTCCCTCCCATCCCATGCCAATTTACGGACGTACGAAAGAATTGTGGATTTCCAAGCAGTACCATATGATCGTTGACAGCGGTAACGATACGGAGGACAACCAATTCACCCTCATCACCGACGATCCAGAGCTCTGTGAGCTGATCGAGAAGATCCTCCAACACAGCCTCACGGTGAGGAGGGGGGATGCGAACAGCGAGAGGCTGGCGGTGAAGCTGTTCAAGAACAACGACCTCTTCGAGTTCGAGAGGGACAACAACGAATACATATGGGGGCTGATGAAGAGGAGGAACGAGTACAACATGCACGTCTCCCTCTGGAGGGGATACGGCCAGTTCAACTCCAAGGGCAACGACGTATGTATGCGATACTGAAGTACCGGGGGCTGTCCATGGCCGACGCGGAGAAGCTGATCGCGTCGGTGGGGAGCAACAGGCTGCAGAGCATCGTGGACTCCTTCAAGAGCATCGCCTCCTACCTGCCGATGCTGCATGCGCACGGCGTCTTCCACACGGACCTGAAGCAGGACAACCTCACCATAGACAGCGAGGGTCGCGCGTTCCTCATCGATTGGGGGAACGCCTTCGTCGAGAAGATCATCGACGATTACATGAACCGCGATAGCACCTTGATACAACCACCTGCCATGCCCAAGGCTCGTGCCGAGGTCCGTGCTCAACAAGATCATGAAGCTCACGGACAACCGCGGCGAGTACCCGATCATAAGGAACCATGACGCCTTCATCCTCCGCGACTTTGCGGTCTCCGACGTGTACGGGCTGGTGACCCTCATCTCCACCATCATAAACCGCCTCTCGGCCGACCGGGGGGAGTTCATCCAGCACTTCCGGGACTTCATACAGATCCCGCTGGACAGCGCCGCGCCCGGCGAGGTTCAGGAGGTCCTACAGGGCGGCAGTACTGAACTGCATAGCCCGGGAGGTGCTCCTGGACTCGATAGAGGACATTCTTAAGCCCCAGCAATGTTCCAATAAAGCCACAAACAAGAGGAAACGTGAATAAAAGTGATTTTAAAAATCCATTTTTAGAGAAAGTCGAGTTAAAAACATATAGTTTGATTTGTACCGGAATTTAACGGCTTTTTGCAACCGTCCCCTGTTGTAATCTATAAAAACCGCCAGCGGGGACTCCAGCTCAGAAATTCTCTCCCGCGCCACACTTGCCACGCTTACGGACCACCCCACCCACCCATTGAATTTACGGACCACCCCACCCACCCATTGAATTTACGGACCACCCCACCCACCCATTGAATTTACGGACCACCCCACCCACCCATTGAATTTACGGACCACCCCATCCATCACCCAATTTTTACGGACCCATCGGACATGTCTTCCACCGCCATGCCCACGGTCTTCCTGAACAAGTATTCCGGATCTCCGCAACACGTCACCTCCCCGGACGCCCGAGTGAGGATCCAGACCTTCAAGAACCGCACCATCTTCACCGTGACCCACGATGCAGCGGACGCGGTCGCGAAGCTCGGGAGCGCCAAGCTGAACGGCATCACCTTCCCCTTCAAATTTGCCAAGGACAACGTCTTCACCTCCGAGTACGGCATCGTGCACATGTGCAAGAAGAGGGAATGCACCTACATCTCCATGAACAACCACTCCAACGTGCTCTCGCAGGAGGCCGTGGACGAGATCCTCAAGCAGAATAAGATCCCGGAGATCATCTCGAGCCTCTCGGATTTTGTCAGCCAGTGCGACTCCCCCGAGAGCCGCGTCGTCGACCCCGTCAGCTCCAGCGTCGTCTTCGCCATCACCCACCCGAACCAGACGATCCGGCCCTTCGTCCTCACGCTCCAGGGCACGGTCTTCGATGTGGGGCAGGGCTGGGACGCTGACACCGAGATCAAGGCCATGGAAGATGGGCCCGCGAAGGAGGACGCGAAGTACATCCACAGCCTCATCCCATCCATCTTCTGGGGGTGCTCCCAGGTCTACATGCAGTGCAAGGCGGGGGTATCGATCATCAACGTTCTCGCCAAAACCTTCATGGTGAGGCAGATGGAATTCAACAAGCACGCCAAGACATTCATCACCCAGCTCAGCGACAAGAAGCTCAACCCTCAGGTCGTCGGCTTCCTCTCCTCCTACCTGAACACGGCGCTGTCCGACGAGGCCATCAGCAAGAGCACGGGAGTGCCGCTGCAGCTCAACGTCCACAACAGCATCCGCCACAGCACCAACAAGAGGACCATCGAGAACGTCGCCTCCCCCTCCTCCCAGCCCTCCCAGGGCAAGAAGCCGATGCGCAGGGTCGCCGCCCCCATCCCCGCCGCCGTCCCGTGCAAGACTCTCGTCTCAAACTTGTCGCTGCGCCAGGTCATCGAGGACTGGGAAGACGCTTGCGCGATGCATCTTACAAAGGCTGATGTCGAGGTGGAGCCCGAGCCTTTGGCTCTTGGGTCTTCCAAGACTGTCTTCCAAGGAAAGTTACGAGTGCGAGGTCAGGATGGCAAGAAAGCATCAGTGGCTGTATTGCAGCTACGACAGGGAGAATCTGCCATGGAAGCAAGCATCTTTCTGAAGCTGGGTCGTCATCCGCAACTTGTTCGTTTCATGGGTCAGTACACGCACGAGGGTCAAAACTTTCTCATCACGGAGTTTGCGGAGAAGGGGTCTCTGTCCGCTGCATTCGAGGAGATAGAGGAGACCATCACCCTGCCGCACCAGCTCTTGATGATGCAGCAGATCGCAGAAGGAATGGAGTTCCTCACTTCCAAGGGTGTCATCCATCGAGGCCTGGCAGCCCGCAACGTCCTGCTGTTCGCCTATGACGAGCGGGAGGTCGAAAGGACGAAAGTCAAGGTCAGCGGCTACGGGCTGGCCGTTAGCTCCTCCGACCGCAGCCACGTCATCGTGGGGTCTGAAAACCTACCGAGACGCTACATGCCGCCCGAGGCGCTACAGAAGGGGCGATTCTCGGAGAGCAGCGACGTTTGGTCCTTTGCCGTGACGATGTGGGAGGTTCTGACGTCAGGGAGCATCCCCTACTACGATCTGTCCGATGACCGTGCTGTGCTCGAGCATGTGCTTCAGGGAGGTAGACTGCCCAGGCACGTCATCGCAGGAGAGTGCCCGGACTCCTTGTGGGCCCTCGTGATGCGCTGCTGGGCTTCGTCGGCCAAGGACCGGCCGAGTTTTTCCGAACTTGTGGCTGCGCTGCGGAGAATCAGAGAGCAACGGAACAAGAGGAAGCAGGCGGAGCTCCAGTGTGAAGTCGAAGATTAACGACAAGGAAGGCATTCTTGCCGATGATCAGAGGTTTATATTAGCGGGCCGGCAGCTCGAAGATGAACGAACTCTTGCTGACTACAATATTCACGGAGAATCAACGATTAATTTGATACTACGCTTAAGAGGTAGTATTACCGCATTCACCTCCAGCGACTTCTCAGATCCTCTGGTCGCTTACCTGATGCTCTCCAACGATGATCGTGCGAGGGCCATGAAGCCGATGGCGCAGCTCCGGATCAAAGCGAAGAGAGAGCACGCGACGGAAGGCGCGAGCTTCACCTTGAAGCTTCCCGGGGAGGACCCTGTTCTTGATCCTCCGACTCGCAGCCTCCTAGCCAGGTTTCTTGACTTCCTGTGGGAGACCTCAGACGCCACGGCTAGGCAGCTTCTTGACATGCGCGTTGCTGTGCCTGACGAGCTGTTTGCGCGACTGATGGAGGCAGGAGGAGGGAAGGAGAGGCTCAGGCCAGCCAAGGGCAGGGAGACTTTGAAGCAGCTCGGTCAGTTGTTCAACGAAGACGGTCAAGGCGGATTCAAGATAGCCCTGCGCATGACTCGCGGCCCGACCAACGCGTGTATCGAATTTCATTGTGACGGAATCAACGCCACCCGCACCGTACAAATCGCGCTCAACGAGACCACGGAATACGAAAGAGGACAGCTTTGCTTCTTCAACCTCAAACAAGACGCCTCGCAGGACGAGCTCGTCCTCTTGCAACGTCCAGCTGGCTCGATCTGCTGTCATCCGAGGTCCGTCTTACACGCGGTGACTTGCTTGACCTCCGGGACCCGCAAGAATCTCTTCGTCATGGATCGTTACAACGGCCTGGGCGAGGGTTTCATCGTCCATGTAAATGAAGATCATTTGCAGTCCTTCTTGACGCGGATCCCGGCTGCTCATGAAGGAGCATGAAGAACCAGTAAGCGCAAGGCCAGCCAACAGGGGTGGTCGTTCAACGAGGCGAACCCTTAGCTGGGTGGTCGTTCAACGAGGCGAACCCTTAGCTCTAAAGTTGTTGAAAGAATCACTACTTGAATCACTAAAGTTGTTGAAAGAATCACTACTTGAATCACTAAAGTTGTTGAAAGAATCACTACTTGAATCACTAAAGTTGTTGAAAGAATCACTACTTGAATCACTAAAGTTGTTGAAAGAATCACTACTTGAATCACTAAAGTTGTTGAAAGAATCACTACTTGAATCACTAAAGTTGTTGAAAGAATCACTACTTGAATCACTAAAGTTGTTGAAAGAATCACTACTTGAATCACTAAAGTTGTTGAAAGAATCACTACTTGAATCACTAAAGTTGTTGAAAGAATCACCACTTGAATCATCTTCACGTCTCTTTCCCTCATGTTGTGACCAGATACACCATTGAACGACTGGCAGATAGTCGAAATCGACCATGTCTGCACTGAATGAGACGTGGACAAACGGAGAAGAGAAATGGCAAAAGACAGAAACTGACTGAGAGGGAAAGAGAGGGAGGAACAAAGAATGTTGAGCTGAGAAAGACTGAAGTATTGATAAGCCGCTAATCGAATGTGAAACTGATTCCTTAGCTTGCAGAGTATCAATGCTTGGATGTAGGCTATCAGATGTTCCTCGTTACTAAAACAAAACTGCTTACCGATAAATCCTCCATGAGAGTCTGAGTTATCTCTTGGAAGGGGAGCGATAGGAAAAGGGAATAAAAAGGATCAAGGGTATGAGTAGTCAGAGCAGCGAGAGATCAGAAGTTGCTGTCCTTGAGAAATCGCATGAGAAATAGCTAATCTCAGAGATCTGAATGGGACCAGTCGAACCCACCAATACACGTTCAATGCTCATAATTACAACAAGGTTTTACAAATACATCTAGTCTTCGCTCACAATGGACTTCTCTGCCATGAACTTGTTTTCAACTTTGGGTTTGCCCAAGGTAGAGCTGCCCCTGACCGTCGATCTGACCCGGTCACTGTCACTCTTACCTTGCTGCGACGAGGATTGGTTCAGTTCGAGTCGAGGTAGGTTGTTCAGTTTGTTGAGAATCTCTTCAACCTTCTCTTTGATCTCCTTCACGTTGTTTTCAATGCTCAAGATCCTCTCCTCAGAAGCAGTTGACAGACCTCCTCCACCACCTTGCATCAACGCCATGGCAGTGGAGCTGTCGAAGCTCGGTTTCGTCCGCTTTTCTTCCAGGTAGTCGGTGTCAAGCATCGCGTCCGAGTCCATCCGTCTCTCCTCCTCGATCTTCTTTCTCTCAGAGGCCACCCACCTTTTGATCTGCTCCATCTCCTCCGCGTCCAACAGCCCGCTCCCATCCTTGTCGTACTTCTCCATGATGTCCTCTGCGTTCATTCCCAGCACGACGTCGGCACCTGTAGAGGACAGCCAAGACTCAAGCTCCTGCATGTCTGTCTTGCCATCACCATCTGCATCCATCTTCTCAAGAGCAGCTTCGATGTCCTCGACTTGCCTCTGCTTCTCGATGATGTTGGTGATCCTCTTTCCGAAGACTCCTGATTCCAAGAAGATGTCCAAGACACTCTTGACTCCCCTCGCTCTTAGCTCCTCGTTCTCAGCCATCACAACCGCAAACGAGTCACACAGTATAGCGATGATGATGTTGAGAAGAAGGAAGTTTGAAAAGAACACCCAAAAGAGCAGCAGGATGGGACCGAGGTATCGGTTTGACGACCAATCTTGGAAATTGAAATCTCCGTAAGCTGCTCGAAGAAGCGTGTAAAGAGAGGTTTTGAAATTCGAGAAGTAAAAGTCGTCAGATCCAAAGATCAATGTACATCCCATGGCAAAGCCAATGGTAGGGATAATTAGCACGATCAGAATGAATATGACGTTCGATGCTGCCTTGGCAATGGTTCGCGTGAGTGTTGAAAGCTTTCGTGACATGGAGAAGTATTTGTAAAGTTTGATCCACATGAAAATCAAGATGATCCCAGCCAGGTTCTTCTCTTGATCCAACATGTACCCTGTCGCTTGCAGATCTCCTTGCTTGATCGAACCCTGCTGGCTTGAAAACAACGCTCGAGCAGCCATCTCATCCCAGACCGTCAGACCAACCAGTGCCAACATCATAAGGACATTCAAGAATGAAAAGATCTGCGGGCAAAATTCGTCACAGATCGTATGCCTTGCTTCTGCTTGCTAAAAGTAGTTACCTGCCAAAACGACTTGACGAATCTGAAAGGACCTTTCGCTATGTCTAGCATGTCGGCAAGGAAATAGTACAAAGTGATGAGCACCACAGCTGAGAATGCAGCGATGACAAGCAAGTCCTTTGTTGTTCCCGTCGAGAATCGAAACGGGTCTACGATTCGAAATGTTGGATACATCGTTACTGTTCCCGATGGCCTAGTTCAAACATTACAGACATTCGAACAAGTCAAATCTGCAAGATTACAGGAACTCGATCACAAGCCTTGTAACCAAGAAGAGGTTGAGATTGGGATTAACTGAGGTGAAACGTCAGGAGAAGACGAGATGCTCGGGTATAGGACACACAGAAGGAGAAATCAACGAAGATGGCTCTTGTCATGAGATCTATCCATCCTGAGTCTTGAATGGTTTTGAGACTTGTGTTGACATTCTGCGTTGAATCGATGGGAATCAACTCCATCACAAGATCATTTGTGATAGAGAAACTGCAAAGAAAGCATCACTCTCGAGCATACAGATACTTGTCTAGTTACGTTTTGTCGACGTCAAGGACATAACCTGACCCGGGGTAACTTGCGAAGCCGGCCTGGAAGTACGCCATCTCGGAGAGTTGTTTCGCGGTATAGAAAGTGAACCAAGGTTCTGTTGTTGGGTTGAACTTGGGAGTTTCTCCGAGATCATTGATGAACTTGCTGTCCAAGTTCGTGGAGAGGCTGAAGGGCGGGTAGCAGTGGATGTTGGAAACAGCAGAGTCGATTCCGAGGATTCTTGTCAGGTATTGGTTGCGGCAGGTCGTATAGGGGACGCGCACTTGTCGGATTCTGAGAGGTCCGATCCTCTTGTTCCCGTAAAGGAAGCTCTTTGCCGACAGAGACGGCGAGTAGGTGCCAAGTGGAAGAACGTCATCAGCAAGTATCTTCACCAGCACTTCCTGCAAGAAGGAGTAGAAGTCTCCCACTGTTGTCAGCTCCTGCCCCCAGCCTGGGTTTGTGATGAGCCAGTTCTTGAACAAGAAGCCGAACTGATAGCTCAGGGTGTTGTCCCTCGTTAAAGTAATTGTTGCAGAGAAGCATGTCACCCACAGCACAAACACGATCAGCTCTCTGACAAATCTGATTGCGTTCCGCTGGAAGTTGGGAGTGAGCGACAGCAAGGACAAGGGCAAGCAGCATCCTACCTTGCTCTTCTTCCTCGCAATCAACGCCCGCTCTTCCCCCGCTGGTTCAGGGTGAACTTTCGAAGGTACGGAGAACAAGGAGGGATCTGCATCGAGATGAGGAGGTAAGGGAGGGAGACGCCATAGAAACAAGCACACCTGATACTCTGAACTCCAGCAGCTTTCCCTTGTTGCCCTTCTCCTCCAGCTCCATCCCCTCCTTCTTGCCCCGCATTCTCTCTCACCCGCTTTCCGATAGGTCCGGCGTTGAAAAATCGAGAGGTCTTGGAAAGATGCTTTCTTTGTGCTAGTCGCCGAGTAGAGGCATCTGCTGTCCTTCTGATTATATACGACAAATGCCGAGGCGGGCCGTTAAATTTCACGTTGTCGCTCTAACTAAGAGACTTTAATTAACTAAAATTATTTGATGTCAGAGATTGTAGCTCCATGGCTGCAACGCGTGCGGTTCCCTTCTACCTGCTCGGTGCTATGCTCTTCATCTCCTTTGCTCTTCATCTCCTTTGCTCTTCATCTCCTTTGCTCTTCATCTCCTTTGCTCTTCATCTCCTTTGCGCGTCCCTGCCCCTGCCCCTGCCCCTGATCTTCCTATTTCTCCTCCCATTAACCCCACACCTTCCTCATCCTCCTCCCCTCCTCTCCACTCAGCTTTGAGCTCAACCTTGTTGTGTTCGTCGGCATTTTTCACTCCCTCTTCCTTACGAATGTGTCAGGCCTGGTGTGTCTTTCTCTCAGACCCGTTCATTCATGGTCAGCCGCAACGGGCATCTCTTTCCATGGCAGCTCCTCGCTGGGGAGAGCAACATGTCATAGGCATGTGTCGCTCAAGTCATCATCATCCTCAGGGGAGAACAAGCTGCAGAATTCTTCTGAATATGAAAGTCTCTACCGGAAAGAGACAGAAACTCTCCGCCGGGAGTATCAAAGGAGCGTCGATGCCTCCAAGGAATTGCCAGGTTTCTTGAAAGGTGCACTCGATCCCTTGCGATTGAGGAGACAGGAGCAAGAGAGGAAGAGATTAGAACTGGAACGCCAGATGGGTCAATCCGATTCAGATTCCCAAGAAGAAGAGAACATCTGTGACAGAGTGCCAACAAACATTGAGATGGTGGTATCCCAGGCACAAATCAACTTCGCAACTGCAGTGTCGTTGGATATGAAACGGATCAGATGTGACGTGCTTGTTCCTGGACTCAACGAAGTGATTGAGAACCGTTTTCCTTATGATGAATCCACCATGTTTGATATCGCTTTTCGTCTTGCAACTTTTGTTACTCCAATGAAGGTGACGTGTCTCAAGACAGCTCCTGGTCTCTTACCCTTCCTTCCAGGTGAAGCTGCTGTTCGAGTCTGCTGGGACTGCCGCTAGTGCCAAGGTATCCTCTCTCCAAGTTGGGAGAATCGCTGAGTGAGTATGAAGGAGTACTACATGCGAAGTATTGGGAAGGAGCTTCCTCCCACGCTGAGCTTCGGAACATTCAGCTCTGCTCGTGTCATCAGGGACCGAGTGAATCAGCAAGGCGACGACATGACACCGGAGGTCAGGGCAGACGATCTTTGCGATATCTACATGGTACTTGTGGTAGAAGTTTCCATCCATCTCACCATCAGCGACAAGGTGGTGCGACCCAAGGACAACCGGGGAGATTCTGTGATATTGGCGGTGGAGCAGGTGAAGTGCGAGGTACTCTCATCCTGATACTGATGGACAAGAGCAGGCTGTCCAGAAACTGCCGGGGGCAACTTGGGTCCTGGTGAGAGTTTCAAAGTTGTTGTTGACCCACTCAAGCGGAGCCAGTTGAATCCGATTCTAGAAGACACAGTCGGTGGATACACCTTCGGTAGTTGTCGCTTTCGACAACCAAGAGTTGTGATGGGAGTATGTGCAATGCAGGCATTCGAGAAACTGACCGTCGGCGTTCTTTCCTTTCACAATTCGAAATCGTTTATCTCTACAGGCAACATCTTTCTCCATTCTTGGGCTGCATTAACTTGACTCCTAGGGGTCTTTTTCTGATTCAACGGCCAAGTTTGATACCCTCGGAGAGGTCCCGATTTTCCTCGTACCTTTCATACTCGTGATAAATTCACCCAGGGGAGCAATTCTGAAGAATCTCGGCCAACCCTACAGGGTATTTAAGCTCAACAATCAAGGATACGAATTGGTTCGCTCTGTTGTCTGCCAAGGTTGTGAAGTTGATACCTGCTTGCAGCTTGGCGAATTCAAAGACAAACCTGGCAGAAATGACTTGAATGGCCTACCTTGGTGAAGGGATACTCGCTGTTTACTCATTCCAGGACCAGATTCCCTTGTGCATGCGGAATATGCAATGAGTTTTTATTCATTTGCTCATGATACTTAAAAACAATCTGCCTTGTCTTCGAAGCTTCATCTTTTTGGGGTTGGATTCCGTTCTAGAGTTGTTAAGAAAGTGTTGCTCTCACAGGGTTTTAAAAGATCAGATGACAGTTATCATAGAAGTGTAGGGGACATGCTTGTTTCTTTGTCATGTGTTTTCTGCTTGTTCGATGTGTTTCTTTCCTGTTTGTTTACATCACTCGCTCCGCTCTATTCCCATGCTTGTCATGTGCTTGTCATTCTTGAGAGCTCGGGGTAGGTGGGGTGATCTGAAGTAAAACGATAGGGTAGGGGTACCTACCCACCATTAACAATCCAGATTCAGGGAGGGTAAATTGGGGGTAGGGGTCGAATCTGAAGTGTCGTTCAGAATGGAGGGGCGCGGAGACGTGAGGGTGAAATGAAGGGAGGGCAGGAAAGCACCTCTCTCAGACGTCATGGCGCGCACTCAGACGTCCTCCTGCACGTCTCCCCGTGACATGAGGGGATCCTGCATGTCTTCCACCTTCCTTGTGTACAGTCTGCCTGCAGCTCATCTTTTCGCATGAGTTTTCCCACATGTACCATATTTCTACCATGATGTTCTTCTCGAGCCGTCATAAGCTCTCTTCTCATGATTCCTTGCTACTTCTTTTCCTACTGTCATCCGTCTTCCCCTCTGCTCCATACGTTACGTTGAGCAGAGAGGGGTATTCCATCGAGGAAGAATTTCTGGCTCAAGCTGGTGTCCGCATAGAAAAGAACTTCGAGATTTATGGTGAGCGCCATCGGCTTGTTGTTCCTGGATCTGACGGAGACCAACTTCAGGTCTTGCTGTGAGCACACCCGTTGGATCACTCAGATGCAACCCCTCTCGTAAGGGAGCCATTCGCTGGGGAACCCCGCCGGTATCAGGCCAGCAGCCTGCCTTCGAGGCCTGCGACGGGGTGAACGACTGGAGGCCCCTGATCTTCTGCGACCTGGGATGCAATCTGAACCTCGACAGTGTCCCGTGAGCAGCCGCGATCCCTGCCTAGAGCTGTGCTGAGTCATCCGACAGGTGTGGAATCCCAGTACTGAACCGATGCGACAGGTAACCCTTGATGACCTTGCTCGAGACTTGCTGACCCTCTGCCCCTCTTTGCTCAGGTCTTGTCACCAGACAGGACAGGGTCTCAATGTCAGGCAGTGCATCCTCAATGTCGCTACTACTCAGTGCAATCATCCTGTGATGGATCAGTGTGGTAACCCTTGCGGGATGTCGGGTCAAATGAGCTGCCAACGATCTCAAGATGCCACCACGGTGAGTAGCCGACCAACTCACTTGCTCGAGCTGCTTCTCCATCTGTGCTGCGTATGTCTCGATGACTGTTGTCCCTTGGTAGGTTGGAGCCATGACCATCAAGTCCCTCGAGGGCGCGACGAGTATGCGGACATCGTACAGGTTCAGTGTTGGGGCATTGAGCGACTCGTTGGACACTGCTGAAAGTGATCCTGCTCTCCAAATCGCACATCTTTATGACGATGCGACGCAAAATGGAACGGAACATTTCGTGAGAATCAGATACTTGAATGAAACAGGAACGGAGGGCGTCGACATCACCGCTCCAGACACAAACATCTCACACCTAGTCCAAATCAGCATGCAAAGCGAGCTTACGGGTGGCTATGTGCAAGTTGGACATGGTGGAGATGGAACTCCCTTTTCAAACCTGTCGCAAGCCACCCATATATTCATTGATGGAATCGTAGGCAACTCTCATGTCGGCTGGATGCCAAGAGAGCAAGGCTCCCATACTCAAGATGACGACGCAGAACTCATGTACATACAACAAAAATCCGTAAGTGAGACAGTGTCTTGTGTCGGGTAATTGATCTAGTTTTTAAATCAGGATTCATTTGATGCATACTACAATGCAGCAAAACAATACTTGAACGAACAGAATGTTGCGCAAACTCAGCGCGAGGGGATCTTTGAATCGAGCAATGGACCCACGGGAGTCCAAGTGAACGAACGCTTGTTTGTGGGCGGAGAATACTCGACCCAGCCTCACCAGGTCGTCTGGAATGGATTCAGGCTGGTTGAGCAACATTCAGAATCAGAATGGGGATACCGCGAATGTCCGTTCTTGTTCAATGCCGGTCGACCTCGTGACTTGGATACACAAACAAACCTGACAAAGCACTCTGTCGGCAACTTTGTAAGAGTTTGCCTGGACTCTCCAACTAGAAATCATGAAATTTCACTTCCAAACGCCATTCCCGATCCTCTCACCAGTCCTTCAAGACAAGTAGCCTATGGCACTCACTTCGAAACATTATTGCCCGACAGGCAAGGAAACCAAGCATGGTCTAGATCCAAGAGCTTTCAGAATGTCTCATGGCAGCCTACGCTATCAGGAGTCATCATAACAAGCGGGAATCTACAAGATTTGGCTTCATTGCCTGGACTCAAATCAGAATCAGCTTTCATCTACAGTAAGTCCCAAATCCTGTTGCTGTAATTTCAACTAACTATTTGTTGCTTCTCAGAATCAAGTTTGAACTTTACCATGCCGCTTGGATTTTTCTTTACACCAGCAAGAGTGACTTGTTGTAGAGACAACAATGGAACTTTGACTTGCTCCTTCAACTGCTCTGAATACCGGCACCAATGGAGTGCAGCTTCAGGCACGTCCATGCCTCTCTTGAAGGACTCTGTGAATGTGCCCTCCTGGTGGAATGGTCCTCTTCTCAGGTTAGATGGCTCCATGGCATCGTCTCTGGTCCCGCAGAATCTTTCAGGATACACGAACAACAACCTGGAGCTAGAAGTGGGGGCTCAGGTTATCATCGATCCCTCGGTTGGCTTTCCACAATACAGCAACAAGACCGGTATTGTCACGTCCATCATATTTGCCAACAATCGTATCATCACTGTAATGTTAGAAAACGAAACTCTCGTCCTAAATCAAAAAGATGTGCATGTCTTGAAAAATGCTTCTAATCTCTTCTCTTACATTGTTGGATCCAATGTTCTTGTCAATGGTGTACCATCAGACTGCACTATTTTCAACTTCTCCAGCAACTTTTTCGATTATTTCAGAATTTATTATGATGTATCTGGTTGGGAAGACATGGTCCTACGGCAAGCAGACCTGATTGAGATGCTTTACGTCAGAAGGGAGCTTCCAACGATTGTCGATCTGACAGGAATCGGATATGTCACTCTGATTGAAACATACAGTAGTGATTCAATCAACTTGTCGGCCCCCTTGACCAGCCAAATGCAGGAGGCTGTTGATTCGGCAGAAAGAGTCAGAAAGGCCATCGGATGGAGGAGGTTCTACCAGAACACTTCCATGGGCACCCTCAAATTGTTGACGGGAGCGAAAACTTCCAATGCAAGCGGCTTTTACCACATGACAGAGATGCAAATGCACGGAAGACCTGTCTTTCGGCAACAGAATGGCCCAAATTTTCTGTACTATAACAAGGAAGCATACTCGTCCGTGCTGTACTGGGCGGTTGGCTCGAGCATGAATTCGTACAACATCAATCTGAAAACAATTTCAGATGCCCTTGTCCCCAACGATATCGATACAGCATGGGAAGAATGGTCGGAGGACTTTCCTGTCGGATACAACCTAAATCATGACATCATCATTCAGGACGTCCCGTCCAACGTCACACAGACGGAGTTCGCCTTGTTGTGGATGAACATGATGGGTGTGCATGTAGATCAGCGAGAATTGCTCGCAACAGCAAACGACTTCGAAAACCGATTCCAATTGGGGCCAGTAACGGATGCAGAGAGATGTTTCAGATGTTGTTGTAAGAATGGTGCAGACGTGTGCAACGTGGTGCCTTCGCTGGCTCTCCCTTCAGACACAGACCCATCAAAGGCCTGCGACTACACAGATACCTACAACACACAGTCTGGCTCGTACATTTGCTACAACAAAACGTTGCTGTCAAAGCGAAATGCCTCGATGAGAATCGTGTTCGATACTCCGCAAGCAGATCGGTACCTTCAGTATCCCGCTGCTTCTGGGAAGGTTATCACGACCGGCAATCTGGAAGACATAACAGCTATTGGTGAGATTGGATATGATCGTTGTGGATAAAACATGCTTTTTACTATTCTCTCCAGGTATTCAGGGAGCTCCTTTGCTGGGTTACTCGCGCCTGAACCGAGGAACCAAGGAAACAGTCGTGCACCTCAAGTTTGGCAAGAATCATCCGAGCCTCTGGCCTCCAAGTCACGACGTCTGTTTGAGCATAGGTTGCTCAGCCGACAACAATGTCAATGTCAACACCCCTGAGATGCTCTTGGGCTGTCACTGCTCCCCGGACATCCAGGCCCTGAACGGCTCGCTGTGGGACTCCCCTCAAGTACGCGCTGACCTCTCCCCAAGGAAGGGCACGCCTACTCCTCCGAAGCTCAGGAACTCGCTGCGTGTGCCGGTGCAGGATGGTATCCTTCTGACGACAGGGAACCTGGAGGACGTCTTGCTGGAGTATGGACAGGCTACCGGACTGCAAGTCAACAGCAACCTACAGGTTTACGGGTGGCTTCAGTTCGGATCAGGCTCGCACGCGGGGGAATGCAATTGGACGGATTGCAACGATAAAGACCACTTGCTCAACTCTGGATTCCAGTTGAGGTCCAACGACTTCCTCCTGGGATGGAACACAAGCTTAAAATCGCAGTGCTCCAACCTCATCACAGAGCCACTCCAGTCTCTGCAGAACTTGAACCTCACAAGTCTTGACTCCAAGTGCTACAAGTCCGACTTCGGAACTTTTTGCTTGAACTTGACGGTCTCCAATTTGTCCCAGTGCTTTCGATCATGCAAGGATCAGAGCTGTTCCTTGATCTGGGCTTCTCGTTTCAACCTGGTTTCGTTGTCGAGCGGCGGCTTCTTGATTCCTTCATATTCCACCTCTCAAGCTCTGCCTCCCTCTGACGGATCGCTTCACTTCAACAGATGGAAAATGTTCAGGACGGGATGTTCAGTAAGTGACAGTCGAGATTCTCACCTGAATGGCACTCTGCTACCCGGCTGTCTAGCATTCTTTCAGAGTTATGGTCAAAGGAATTATCTTGCGGGGGGGCCTGATCTTATTCCACTTATCCTTGAAATGTATCAGAAGCAGCTTGATGCTTTGCAAATCTTGATCGATGTGAATTGCAACGCCAACTTAACCACTGCTGATTGCTCCAACTACACAAACCAGTCCCTTGAGGTGAGGAGCTTGGCAAACTTGAACACCTTTGCTTATGGTAGTCCCAATGTATACGACGTGAACCCACACTTGTGGTCCATTGCAAAATCAGAATCGGCATCGGTGAATGGATTTTCCCTTCAGCACCAGGGAGTTTGCGCAGAGCTACATGAAAATGAAACAAAAACACTGTCTTGCGGAGTTGGAGGAGAAATTACAGAATTTTCATACGCAAGGATGGGCAATGTAAGTCACATCCTGTTATCCATACACTTTCTGAGGCCGAATGTGCACTCGATCCGACTGCTTTCCTTGTTGTCATCATGAATTGCTGAAGTGCCTCTGTTCTTGACCGCTGACATCTCTTCTTACAGACTGGAGGCCTCTGCGGCGAGTATACTGCTCACCCGTGCGATGTTGATCTTGCCCCATGGCTGGCTGGGACGCGCAAGACGACGGACGGGAATTTCATCTCCTGCATTGGCAAGACCTCGTGCTCCATCTCTGCCAGACGAGCCCTGTACTCGCTGGACTCAAACCTGTGGAAGACTTGTCCTTCCAAGACTTTATGGATGAATGTGCAGGTCAAGTGCAGGCAGAAGCCCTTTCTTGCCTTCTCCGACAACCAGCTCTACGTGGTCAACCAGACTCAAAGCAGGATCCTAGCGCAGCAGGTCTTTGACTTCGGGTTTGATACAGACTTGGAATGCTCGCGAGTGCGGTCATCGCCGTATCGGGTGAATTTTCAGATGTGTGGAGCGAATTATAGCAGAGACACGGACTCTTACATCTTCGCTTCCCACAAATCTGATCTCACGTTCTTGTTGTCGTCGGGAACAGATGGCAATAAGACAATCTTGCAGTTTGAAGCTCTTGCCAAGTCTGACTCCAAACAGTCAGAAAACAATGTGCTTTTCCCTTCAACCAACGGCATCATCATTACAACCGGCAACCTGCAAGACATCACGGCAGAGTCAGGACCACTTCACAGCTTGAGTGTAAGCCAGCTCTCCTACTTCAGGCGAGGCTTGACTGTCGGGTATCTTGAGCCCTCGACAAGTTACTCGAGCCTGCTGGATGAAAACGTTCAAGACTCTTGGTGGTCACAGGGAACATCCTTGGGGAAGAGTGAGGGAGGTTCCAAGTGGCTGTGGAACAACGGCCCTTGGTTCACCATGTTCGACACGCGGACTGGGCCCGGAGAGAGCTCATTGCCTCGAGGCATGCTGTTCAACACTTCCGACAGTGATTCCCGGGTCTCCTTCCTGACCCGCGCTGGATCGGTCGCACAGATCGAATTCCCGATGGTTTGGGGAACTCAGAGTTACAACATATCGCACACCTACAGCAACATCACAGGGAGGTCTTACTCCCTCCACCCGTGCGACGGCAGTATGCCCTTCGCATGCAACAGCACCATCATCACCACCGGCAACATTCGTGACGTCAAGAACTTCACGGGGCAGGTTGTCAACGTGAGCAGTGAGACCCGTCTCTTCGGTGAAGTTCTTGTCGGGGGGGGGCTCAACATGGCGCCGTTCGCCAACGTGTACAGGCCCCCCCCTGGGGTTTACGGTCAAGCAGACGGCTCCAAGTGGTCGACGTACAACAGCCAGTGGGAGGCAGCGACGGTGACTTCTCTCGACTGCTCCTCGGGTGGACTCTGTGGCATGAAGCCTGTGCTGCTTCAAGGATCTGTTCCTGACTCGCTCACCTATAGAAACGTCCCGGACATGTTTCGCCCGGGTCTTCCCTTGACCTGGAGCGATCACTCGAATTCAATTTGTTACCTGCCTGGCAGTGTTATTTCCAACACCATGAGCGTTCAGTTTGACCCCTCCTATCCCAACGTCATCCGCAGGAAAGGAACTGTTCGAGAAGCTTCAGTCAAGATCGTTAGGATGCAAGCACTGTCTCTACTAGTCTGCAAGCAGGCGTGCGAAAGGGAGCCGGAGTGCGGGATCCTGACGTATCGAGTGACGGATGTGAATGGATCTGTTTCCTGCATCCTAGCATATTCTCCTGCAGATGCCTGTAGACTGCAAGGAAAGCCCTCAAGCTTAGATAGCTCGCTGTTGCTCTACTTGCGAAACTACAGCATCAGTTTTGGGATAGGGAATATCTCATCCAATGTTTCTCAACTGATGCCTGGGAAACGATCAGGTACCGTGATCACGTCTGGCAATCTTGTGGATGTTCAAGGGTTTCCGGGAATACAGAATGTAGCTCCAAACGGAGACATCATGATTCATCATCAGTCTGCCTACGAGTGCTTGACACTCGATGGAAGCCTGAGCAGATGCCTCGAAGACTCGGGCCTCAACAGGTGCATGAAGAAACATTTCGCCAATTATCCACCGAGCAACTGTGACTTCAGCAACTTCAACTGGGCGAGCGGGTCGAGCCTTTGGACAGCCTTGGGCTTCACCGTATCAGGTTACACGTGCAGAGCTCAATTCTCAAACGTTGGCACCTTCATTCAAGGCCTTGATTACCTCATGGACCCGTTCAAGGCGAGTAACTACACCTTCACGGTTGACACGAAATGCTCCGTCACCAGCTGCATCGGCTGCCGCCTGTATGTGCAGGAAGGCGGCCTTCCTGACTACTACCTCCCGAACACGCAAACGCTTGCGCATGTTCCTCCAGCAGACGTCATGAATCGGAGGATCACATTCCCTGACGCGACGGGAACCGTAATCACGAGCGGCAACATCGACGACATCGTTTTCAGGAAGATGAGACTGCGGAACCTGTACCTGGATGGAATGATCTACATGGGTATCAAGGACACCCTGACCCCTGCTCAGCTGCAGACGAAGTCATCCGTCAAGATCAGATTGAGCGACAAGTTCAGGTTCGTCGGAAGCATGAACATGCTCGCAGGGTCCAACTTCCGTGACTCAACCAAGAACGATGGGACCACTGGCTTGATGCCCGCGTATCAGTCCCCCTACGAGCTCCCGATCAAGCCTTCCGGTCAGATCACTGGGATCATCGACTACGAGATTCAGCGAATCTCCATGTGCGTCATCATTGACAGGGTCTCCAACAAGCAGACCCGAGGAGGCAACCAGTCCCTTTGGATGCAGAATGTCTTGATCAGTGATTGTCCCACTGGCGTGTCTTGTCCATCGAGCAACCAAGAATGCGTTAGCTCCTACGTCTGTCTCACAGGACCTTACATGGGGCAGCCTTGCGACGTGGACGCGAGGTGCTGTCCAGCAGATCAGATCATGAAGTGTGAGCACAGGTGCCATGGGATCGAACGATATCGTGTCAGGAGGGAGCAGCCGTCAGGCATTCATCTCCAGCTCTACAACACGAAGTGCGTCGCTGCTTGTGACTTCGAGCTCTTTCAGCCGCAAGACGAGTGGGTCAACATCAAGGATCTTGTTGGTCAAGACAAGCAGGGACTCATTACAACGACCATCGGCTACGAGACCATCACGAACAACAACACCATCCTCTTCCCCGACTGCTCTGGAACCATCATAACAACTGGAAACTTGCTCCAACTCCCAAAGATGGCATTGCCTTCAGGATCGTTGTATGCTGGTAAGCTCTCTCACTCTCTCCTTTGGTCTGACTAGGTGCAGGTGGGCATGTCGGCTTCGGAGGAGACCTGCAGCTCGGGGACCCCAACGACTTCGTTTCAAAGATCCACATGCACGCGTATCTGGATGGAGATGCTGGGATGGTACTCAGAACGTCCGGCGGCTGCGAGTCTGTCATCATCGAAGGAGCAGTGTTTTTCCCAGAGCTCATGGGGCAATTCGACCTGCACTCGACGTTCTCGAGGAAACCTGTGTACAAGCACAGAGAGAAACCTGTCTACATATTCTACCAGGCCAACATCCTCGACAGTTCCTACAAGCTTGACACGAAGGACAACCCGAGCGAAGGCAGATGGTGAGTTCAAGTCACAGTTTCTCCTTCTAGTGACCTCCGGCCTCAGGTACATCGGCTACCGCATCGGCTTCAACGAGAGCGCCAAGATGGACCGTCCGATCAAGTTGAGGATGCGGCACATGACCTGGAGCCCCGTCGATGCTGACCTGCTGTTTCCCGGACCTCAGATCTCAGGAGAAGACCCTGGGATTTGGGAGGTGAGAGCCCTGCTGCTTGCTTTCCCCCCCCCCTCACTCTCCTTCCTCTCGCACAGGAGTGGGAGCAGAAAGATTACGGCAAGTGGACCCTCTCGCCGACGGTGCAGGGAAGGTGCGCGATTCGCAAGAGGACTCAAGATCATCTCCGCATCTCCCCAGCGCGAACGTACAGCAAGGATGCGGCGATCCGCTACTACCTCAATGACCCGGCAGGCGCCAAGGACCTGCCCATCAACGTGCTGCAGGAGAAGAACAATGTGGACGCCCCGACAGTGCTGGAGTATCGAGACCCGCTGAATGGAACAGAAACCCTCAGCATCTCCAAGTGCAACGAGCTCGTCATGCAAGCCGGCTTCGCTCCTGTCTTCCAGTGCTCCCAGCTCCAGATGTGCGACATGCAAGGAGACGGGAGGCCCTGGGGGCTCCAGACGTGGGGCAACTACCTGGAGGATCGTCAACTCCTCCGACCGACTCTGTTGCAAGCTACGCCGGCATGGGGAGTGCTGAGGAAGATGCGCAAGTGTAAAGTGCCTGGGCAGTGGAGGCTGCAAGGAGGCGCTCAACTGAACTTGGGATCGAGTGATGGCTGGTTGCAGGGACTTGACTTGCACCTGACTGACTTCCAGCCGCTGCCCAGCACCGACGCGTTCGAAGGAAGATGGTTCCAGCGCGGCTTCAACGGCACCTTTCACGCTAGTTTCGGTCCGACTTGCGATCTGACGATGAGGCTGAATCCTCCCAAGGGAATCTCTAATTATAGCGTCCTCGCAGTCTTCCCCTATGAGCAATGCTCTGTGCGAGGAGGCTCCCAGATTGTCTGTCCGAGTGGATCATTTTCTCTCCCCGCAGCCTCCAGCACAGTGATTCTCTGGAAGTACTTGAACCACAGCAGCTTGAACTCTTCCTACCTCCTCAACACGATCAAAGGAGCTCCCGTCAGTGAAGTTGCGGATGTCTCAAACCCCATCTGCACTGACTTCATCCCGGGCAACCCAGTGCCGTCGGGCCTTGTTCTTTCTCGATCTATTTCCAATTGTTCGGTCGTGGAGTCAAACATGCACATCAGGTTCCTACAGGACCCATCGATCGACGAGTTCGTCTCCGCCATGTTCAATCCTCTCGACGTGAACGGGTCCATGTCTGCCACAGCAGCGTCACAGGCTTGGTCTCGCTTCATGGAGATTCAGGTCAACGAGAGCAGCAAGTGGGTAGAGGAGAGTTTCTGTTTCATGGGCCTTGAGCTGCCAGCGCCAACCTCCATCTCGCACATCCGAGTCCTGCCCCGGGTCAACTTCGCCGCAGCTCTGGAGGGATCGAAGGTTCTTGGCCTCTCCATGTCTAACGGCACAATGCAAGCGAACCTGACCGAGCTTGCGGTCATCTCCGACGCCAACTTGGTCGGCTGGACGGAGGTGGCGAACCTCGAGGTCGTTGACCAGCCCTTCCATGCGGTCCTGGTCCTGGGCTCGTCCCCTCTCGCCTGCTCTTCTTTCGACAAGATCGAGTTTCACACGGGCAGGATCAGCACGACCTTCGACTTGAACAAGAACGGAGTGGACAGCTTCTTCGTGGACGACAAGCTCGTAAGGCAACCTCATAACAACGAGTCCGCCATGATCTCCAAGTGCGCAGCTTTGGGTTGGCTCCCCGTCACCCAGTGGAACGACGTGAACGAGATCTCTCTGATCTCGAGAAACGGCAAGGTCATCTCGACCGGGAATCTCAAGGACGTATCCTACCAGACAGGACAGGCAAGCAGCGTCAAAGTCACCGACGGCATGGAGGTAAGCGGCGATCTTGTGCTGGGAGAGGCGGGCGAGGTCTCGGTAGTCGACCTCCTCGGCGACATCACCTCCTCCCCGCTAAAGTTTCTCCCCGAAACCTCCGCGACTTCGCGGGTGTTTCACCAGCTGGAGGTCAGGCAGAGCGTGCTCAGCTCCGACCACCTTCTTCGTCTCCCCCGCAGCTCCGGCGCCCTCATGACCAGCGACTCCCCCACAATCAACGTGGACGATCCTCGTGGGGTCGTGCTGGGGCAGGTGACGCTGGAAGGAAGTGCGAGCATCATGTCGTCCTCCTTGCAGGTCGGCAGCCTGCCGGAGGGCCCCGAACTGCTCTACGGCATGTTCGACTCCCCCGGCCCTGCCGCTGCCAACAAGTCGTGGGTGACTCTTGTCTCCGACATCTCCGGCGACTATCCCGTGACGCTCGGAGCTCGAGGCGTCGGCTCCTTCGCGACCACCCTGGGGGTCGTGAACCCGGTGGAGGACAACACCCTGACTCTGCCTGATGCCCACGGCACCGTGCTCAGCAGCGGCTCGCTCCCTCCCTTCTACTCGCAGGTGTTCTCGTCCGAGCCGCTCGTTTTCGAGCATGCCTCCTTCACCCGAGATGCCAACAGCTCCATGGCGTTCGTCAACTTCGGCGATGACGAGAACGCGGTCAACGTTGAGTTCAACGCCATCCTGAGCGCGCAGTCCATCGCCTTCACAGGCGACAAGATGGACGAGTTCAACTTGATCTTCGACGTCTCCGACAGCAGCAGCGACAACATCCTGACGCTCCCCGACACCAGCGGCACCATCTTGACGACGGGCAACCTGCCGGAAACTGTGACCTTCCTCAAGGTCCTCGGCGATCTGAAGCTGCACAACGACGCGAACCTACAAGGAGAGAGGATCCTCTTCGGGGACAGCGAGCTAGGGGACGACCCTCAGTTCGCTCTCTTCCAGAACGTGCAGCTCACGGGCCGCTTCCCCCTCGTCTTCTCAGGGTCGGACGACCAGGTGGGCCAGTCGAGCCTTGCTGGGAGGCCCTCCACTGCCTTCGAGATGATTCCCAGCTCCAACCCCAACGTGATCTCCTTCCCCGACAGCTCCGGCACTGTGATCACCACCGGCAACATCCAGTCCTACTGCCTCGTCCCCCACACCGGGCAGTACCACGTGCATGCTCACAGCCTCAGGGTCTCCGTGAAGGAGGCAGCTGTGCTCGGGAGCTTCACCGATGGGGACCTGGCGTCGCTCTCCAACTCCTCCGGCTCCTTCGTCTTCCTTGACAGCCCCAGCGCCTCCTCCCCCAACGTGAAGCAGGATTCGTTCTGGGCTAGAGCGCGCGGAGGGTTTCGAATGGTCAGCCCTGCCGCCAGCTGCTTGAGAGGAGTACTGACAGTGGCGCAGGTCAGTGATGTTCGCTCCTCGGGATGGGAGATAGGTGCTCAGCTGTTCCCCAAGAGCAGCAGCTGGTCTACCTTGTCAGACGCGCGGTCCAAGTGGAATCGAACTCAGGTGATCGGCCAGTCCTCCCCTCCTCCCCTCCTCCCCTCCTCCGCTCCTCCTCTTCTCGATCTGCTCCCCGGTTCTGCTCCTGTTCACACCATTGCTGCTTCGTTGTTCTTCGGTCTAGTCTTGTGCTCCTCCTTTTTTCCTCTCCTCTTCGTCTTTCCACTCCCTTCCCTTGTCTTTCTCCCGTGCTCTTGCACTTCTCATCCCTACTACCTCAGGTCAGCACGGATCGCGTGCTCAAGACTCTGGTCGAGCGCGTGCCTGTTTTCACCTGGCGCTATGAGGGGCAGTCGGCGCTTCACATGGGCCCCATGGCGCAGGATGTTCACCAGGCGTTTGCCCTCGGTGGGATGAAGAGAAGAGGGAGGAGAGAGGGACGGGAGGGAGGAGAGAGGGAGGGGAGGAGGAGAGGGGGAGAGAAAGATGGGAGGGAAGGGAGGAAGGAGGGTGACGAAGAGGAAGTGACGTGGTGGCAGGGAGCCACGAGGATCGCATTCCCACGGGAGACATGGACGGCATCATGCTCGCAGCAGGTGCGCGCGCAGGTTGCTAGTCCCTGCAGCTGACGGCTCTGCAGCTCAATCAGCCTTCGAGCAAGGAGCGAGACTGGCCAAGGAGATCGACGAGCTCGAGGAAGAGGTGGAGGAGGCGGAGGCTCGGCTGGCAAGGACACAGCAGGTGTGTGAGGCCAACGAGAAGCTGATAGAGAGGAACGAGAAGCTGCTGTGGGAGATGGAGCGAAGCTTGTTGGATGTGTGAATACTTGTATGTCAAGACGTGAAGGTCTAAGAGGAAGTTTATTCAACCATGAAAGAATAAAGCTTGTTCAACATCAACATCATCTTCTGCTCTGCGGTGACGAGCCAGGAGCGTTCTTCGGCTTTCTCTGTCGGTTTTGAGCCATCGTCGCAGGGTGTTGCGGCATCATCGGCTGCTGCATTCCCGGCGCCATCGAGGACGGCGGATGCTGACCCATCAACCCTGAGGGGGGAAGAGGCTGAGGATAGCCTCCTGGCCTCCCCGCGACCGCGCCATGATGAGCCGTCGGCACAGGACCGGATCCCACCTGCGACGCATCCGCTTGTGACAGCTGCGGGTGCTGGTGCGGCACTGGCGTATGCTGGGCTCGGATCGCCTGATGCTGCGCAAGAGCCGCCTGTCTAGCCACCTGCTGCTGCTGCGGAGTCGCCTGAGTGTGCAGCCTCGATTGCTGTGTCGGGTCATGCACAGGATGACCTCGTCCGGCTGTCGGAGGCCCCTGACCTGCCCTCGCAGCTGCTGACGTCGGGATCGGGCTCTGTTGCCCTGGTCGTACACCCTGCTGCATCCCCACCACTGACGGATGGGCCATTGGAGAAGGAGCCCCCACACCTCCCAGCACCACCGAGCTTGACACTGGCGGGCCTGCGGAGGTAGGAGGCATGCCAGGCTTCGACGTGATGGGCCTTGACGCCTGCATGGCTGCTGCATGCGAGGCATGTGCGGCGCCCACAACCTTGGAGGCAGCAGACGCACTTACGACCGGAGCTCCAGGACGATGAGGCGGCTGCGCACCCATTCGGACGGGCACCTGCTGCGATGGATGAGCTCCTGGTCTGCCAGGCATCTGCCCGGGAGGTCCTTGTCCCAGCCCAGCTGATGTTTGTGGTTGACCACGGACGAGGTGGCTTCCAGGTTGTTGTGAGATCGACGGTGGCACCGGCTGCTGCGAAGCCGGCAAAGACTGTTGAGCCCCCTGAGATGCTTGCTGCTGCTGTAACGGCTGCTGCTGCACTTGGGATTGCGAGGGCGCAGGCTGAGGCATCTTTGCTAGTATGCGTCGAATCAGCTCGCTAGGGTTGCTCGAGACTGTTGCAAGGTTGAGGCCGACAGATTGCGCAGCCTGGTTTGCAATCATTCTGTGAGAGTCGTGTGCTGGCAGAACTTGGAGAGAATCCCGCTGCTTCATGGGTAAAGTTCCTCCACCAGGCAAAGTGGGGCCACTCTGAGTGGACTTAGTATTAGACAACATCGCACGGATGATGGATGCAATATTCGAGTCTCTTGTCGGTTCTGACGATTGTGATCGCGGAGGATACAAAGGCTGCTTTTGCTGACCGTCAGGATTTCCTTGACCTTGCTGAGCAGTCGATAACCGTGCATGCCAATAGTCCATGCAATGCTTCCCCATGCGGAGTCGTCCCCTGGCAGGAATACTGGAGTTCAAAATTGAAGCATGCAGATGCCAAGTACGAATGGGTAGTGTACCAGAGCCACCCTGAAAACGGTTGACAGATTCTCTCAAGACATCTTCTTCCTCTTTCGTCCATGGAACATCTCCAGCGGAGATGCCTGCTCTTCGGTTCTTGTTGACTTGCTGTCCTGGCTGAGTTGGCGGCATCTTCTTGTTCAGTTGAGACTGCAGGCCCTGCCCTGGTCGTGCCGAAGCTTGTGCGTTTGCCTGAACCGCTTGAGGCATCGTGAACTTGATCTTGAGCCCTTTGTTCTGCGGTGGACCAGGTCTCTGACCCTTTACCTTGGTTCCCTGAGGCGATCTCACCCCTACAAAGATCAAAGGTCAGTCAATATCTGCACACGCAAGCCCACATATCACGAGCAGCAACATAAAAGACAGTGTGAATGGTGTTGTGAAACAAGCACACGATTCAATTCATGTAAAATGCATGGATACAGTCCGTTTCCATCGCAACAAATGGAGCACAGGTTCATTCGCAGGACGTGCAAAGAAAACGAAAACCATCGCAACAGGTGATTCGGGTAGTTCGAATCCGTTGCAGATATTGCATCGAACACCAGCGAAAGAACCCGTGCTTCCCAAATTTGCGATGCAAACGTACCTGTATCCTGGTACATGGGTTCGTTGATATAAGTGAACTTGTCATCATCGGGATTGGGTGGCTCGTAAAAACCACCGAAGTCAAGGTTCGATTTCTCAAACCCTGACTGCAAGCGATTTACGAGTTCACGATAAACCTGGAAGAATATGGGCTCAGGGGACAAAGGCTTGAGTGCTCCTTCGTCGTATGAAGACACAATCACAAAGCAAACAGAACATGACAGATGTGAATGGTGTGAAAAAACACAAACCACGGTAACGTAAGGAAGTTTCGAGTGCCAATAATTTTACCTGTTGTGAGCATCCAGAAACCTCGTAATAGAGGATTTCATCTTCATCATACATGCGATCGGCGTCTTGATCACGAATACGGCGAAGCTGATCTCTCTCCCATTGCTCCTTGTCAAAGTTCACGCCAGCAACTAGGGTAATTCCTGCCTGCTTGAACTCGTTCTCCAAGTATTGTAGCGCATATCGTTGCACTGGCATGAGCTCGCTCTCAATTGCCATCGCAACGGCTTCAACTTTGCCAAGTCCAAAATCATCTTGCGCCGCTTCAGAAACATCTCGATCGCCTGCATCAGCTGGTGCCTCGTCCTCAAAATCAGCCATCTCTTCACGTTCCTCTTGCTTCGCAATCTTCATGGCCTCAACGTCTTGCTCGTCTTCAGCATTTGCAATCGCAAGCTCCCACTCTTTGTCGCTAAGAACATTCTTTCGTGAATCCTTGTCACCTTTGGAATCCTTGACAGGAGTGGCACTTTCTTGCGCTTGAAGATGTGCCAAGGGATTTGTTTCTACTTGTTCTACAGGGGCCTTCTCTTCCTCAAATAGTTCTCTTACCTACAACATGAGTTAGTAACATATGATGTAAGTGAAAGACAAAAAGCAGTAAGCGTGTACTTACATCAATCTTTTTGAACATGTCTGGGTTGAAGAGGCTAGCAGCTCCATCTTTCAGTGCAAGATTTTCCAGTTGTAACTTTTGTCGAGCCTTCTTGAGAATGTTTTCTTCGACGGTACTCTCGCTTACCAGTCGATAGATGTTGACTTCTCTCGTCTGCCCAATCCTGTGACAACGATCTTGCGCTTGTCGATCCATAGCAGGATTCCAGTCACTATCGTAAAATATGACAGTATCTGCCCCTGTCAGATTTATCCCTACTCCCCCTGCACGTGTCGACGAGATAAAAACCAAAATCTTTGGATCCTGGTTAAACCTTTCAACAAGCTTCTGACGCATCTCAATTTTGGTTGCGCCATCTAGTCTGATGTACACATGTCCGTGAAAGCTGAGAAAAGTTTCCAAGATATCAAGAACTTTCGACATCTGCGTGAACAACAACACACGATGACCTTCGCTCTTGAGTTTGCGTAACATTCCATCCAAAACTTGTAGCTTGCCACAGTCGTATTGCAACAACCTTTTGTCTGGGAAGTACAATTGTTGACGAATATATGCAGGTCTGCAGACATCGTTGAATGATGAAAACCAATGTCTGCAATCCAGCACGCGATCTTCGTTCACAATATTCTCGTTCAGGTTTGGATGACTCAACACCGCGCTCGGAGGCAAGGCCCTTGCCTTCGGAATGATACATACAAAGTTGGTCAAAATATGATACAGGCTATCCACTTCGCGGTCATCTAAATCGTACATCGGGTGCAAGAGCTTGGTCGAAATGCAGCCTTCCTTGCCACCTCTACCAAAAACTCTCTCAGGAGATGTCAACACAAGGTTCCGCAAAGTGTCGGTGTACTCGAAATAGCGCTTGGGGTCACTTGCAAGCGCAACAACCTGAGAAAATCCATCAAATCGGATATAAATTGAGTTTTGTGTTACCTCATCGACCGGTCTTCTCACAGATTCAATCAAACGACACAAACTGGTTCCATAAATCGGGGTTCCCTGGCACCGCCTTTCGTTGACCATCATCATTTGGCTGAATCGGTACGACTTCATCTTCTTTCTCTTATTCATCAGGTACTCTTTGTACTCAGACACTGAACTCCATTCCCTCTTTTCAGCCTGCAAATTGGAATATTCCTCATACGAAGTGAGACTTTCTCCCAATTCCACAATCAATTTCCGGCTAGCATGCCGATCTGCCAGAAGCTGGGCATCAAACTTTGAAATGTTTTCAAACTCGCTAAAGAGAAAGTTCAGGCCCTTGAGATCGACATCTGAGAGCGGATTCCATCGACTAACGCTGGAAAATTCTGCCGAACTATGTATCACAGTATTCGTACAATCGAAAGGCGAGACAATTGGTCTTTCCTCGAATAAATCAGGATGGTTGCAAACCTTTCTTAATTGCATCAAAACGTTGATGACTTCCAAAAGATTGCCAGATTGCAGCTTTGCTTGTGTTGATCCAGCAGCCATGAAATCATCATACAAACATCTTTGCCTCTTGGAAAGACGACAATTTACAACGTGCTCGTGTTTGTTTGGCAATTGTGTTTCGACATCCTTCTTCAGCCTCCTCAAAATGAACGGTCTGAGAACTGAATGAAGTCGCTGAACCAACGAATCATTCATCGCGCTCGTGCCTTCAACCATGCTCATGAGCGGATTGGCAAACCAGTCTTTGAATTCGGAGTGCGAAGAGAAAATATGAGGCATGAGAAAATGAAGCAGTGACCACAGTTCCATCAAATTATTTTGCAGTGGGGTGCCTGTCAGAAGAAGTCTCCTCTTGGAACGAAAATTGAGGAGTACTTGCCATCGTTGAGATTGGAAATTCTTAATGTTATGTGCTTCGTCCAAGATCATGTACTTCCATTTCTTTCTTCGAAACATCTTTTGATCCTGGACAGCCATCTTGTATGAGGTAATGCAGATGTGGAAAGAGTTCGGCTTGGACCAACCCTGGCGCTTAGCCTTTCTTTCTTTCTGACTTCCATAATATGTTAAGACCTTGAAGGAAGGACACCATCTCTTCACTTCAATCTCCCAGTTCAGTAAAAGGCTGGTGGGAACAACAATGAGATGAGGGCCCCATATTCCTCGTTCGCATGCAAGGTATGCCAATACAGATATCGTCATGATGGTCTTGCCAAGTCCCATCTCATCCGCTAGTATTCCGTTAAGTCCCTTGTCATAAAGAGCAACCATCCAATCAAGGGCAATGTGTTGATACTCTCTCATCTTCAAGTTGGCACTGAGCAAGAACGGAACTTCTGTCTTCACTTGAGTTGTAGCGAGAGTATGTCCAGTTGGAGCAAGAGTACGAGCCATGTCTGCTACGTCTTTCGCCTCAGCAGATATTCCACCAGGTTCTTCTGCTTTAACTTCACCCTCAGTATCCTGCTTGGGAACTTCGCTCTGATCTGAAGGTTTGTCAACTGACATTTCATTCTTTGCCTCTTCACTTTCATCTTTGGCAGTACTTGCGGCCTTTCCATCTGTCGCAGGCGTTTCCTTGTCTTTGCTTGAATTCTCCTCTGGATTCGCCTCCGTGCTTGCAGCCTCATCCTCGTCCTCTTCATCATCCTCTTCATCATCCTCGTCCTCTTCATCATCCTCGCCGTCAACTGAGTCCCCCCCATTATTGTATCCATATTTCGCAAGCAACTCCTCCAATGGCATGTCTTGCTCAGCTTGCAAGGCATTCACTTCTTCAGCAACATCAGCTTTGTTCTCATCTTTCTCAGCCTCTTCCATGGTCTCCTCATCATCGTCTTCATCATCTTCAACCGCATATTCCATATCGTCTGTTGCAGACTGAGCTCCGGTGCTGTTTCCAAAGATCTGCTCATTTTCACCCGATTTAGCTCCATCATGGCCTTTTGCACTAACTGCTTGAGTTTCAGTAGGTTTCGGCTGCGGCACAGGATTTTGTTTTTGGGGGACTGCAAGATCCTGTGCAATCATAGTTGAGTATTTCTCCGTTTGATCAACTAAGAAATCAAGGTGCTTCCCAAGCATTTTCTTCTTCTCAACATCTACTTGCACTTGTTGCTTGTGCTGCGCCAGTGTTTGAATTTGTGACCAAAATTTTTTGACTTCCTTTGCAATCTTTCCAGCTTTCTTTCTTGCAACATTTTCCTTGTCTTTATCTGCACGCTCTGCACGTAGTTGTTTTTGTGCATGATATTTGACACAAGCATAGGCAACCTTCTTGGCAACTGCCATCTTCCATTTCCGCTCTTGACGGAAATCCGTTGCTAGCCATGTCATTTCCTCTAGAAGATAATCATGATGAACTTTACGACGAGGAGGTTCCGGCCATTTGGCTTTAAACTTCAACTTCTGCTCAATTGCCTTGGCTTTAGCAAGAATAAGTTTGTCTTCATCAGACAATCCCTGGGACTTCTCGGAAGATTTGTGTACATCATGGCCAAGAGTGGCAGCAGCTGGAGCAGAGGAAGCAGCTGCAGCCTTCTGAGACACATGAAAATAATCTAACAGCGCCCCGTCCCCGTTCAAATACTGCAACTCATCCTCGAGGAGCCTTTTCCGCTTGTTCAATGCCTCCTTGACCTTGTTCTTCCACGAGAGTGCAACCTGTAGATTTACAGGACCCTGCACGTCATTGGATCCCGAGCTTGCAGCCATGTCAGGCTCTTGCTTCACCATCACCTCGCTGGCATGTTTCTTGAGAGGAGGTTCGTCGCCGGGTGTGCCCATGTTCGACTTGAGTTTCAGTTGCGGCTCACCTATTTCTGCTATCCTCCCTTCCTGCTAACCATCACCTCATTGACCGAGCAAGCAGGATTCAACAGCGCGCATTCCCCTCTTCTTCCCGCCCATCGCTCCTCGCCGCTGCTTTTGAAGGGCCGAGGAACTAGTGTAGTATGCTGCCACGAAATATCATTTCATCTCATAAATTCAATAGTTCAAAGTTCAAATATTGGTTGTAATTTTCAACTATATTGAAAAATCGATAGATATATTCCCCCTATGCCGAAAAAATGGCGGCAGAGGCGCCAAGCACGAGTCCGCTGTCCCTAGGACGGGACACTGGTACAAGCACCCATTATTAAATAGTACTGAGATATTATGTTTGTACCTGAATGTCTGTACCAAAATATTCTCTTAACTTCTTAAATAGTAATGATTTCTATAAATATCTTCTCTATTGCTGAGAATTGTGTAACTGAACCAGTAATGCATGTAAAAGTAATTCATGATACAAATAATAATTATTTTTAATTATGATAAGCTGTACTTATAAAATTCATGTGAATTAAAGCAGACCCGCCTCGTCAGAGCTCAACTCAGGCAAGCTGCCGGGCAAGATCAAGCAATGTCCATGTAAGTCGGCGGTGCCTCCCGTAGAGCTGACCTCCTCCTTCCCTTCCCGCCTCTCAGAAGCTGCAAGCACCTCAAACCTCGTCCTTCCTCCTCCATAGTCCGCCATAAGATCTGGTAAACTATGCTATGAACCCCAACAACAAGGGGAGTACGCAAGGGGAGGACAAATCAAAAGCCCTGAGGATATTCAAGTGTACGAAATGCCATATTGAGGTTCCCTATCACTACTTTGGTAAACAGCCAAAATTTGCCAAGCAATTGATGTAAGATCGCTTCCGGTCACTAGCCAGCGCCTAACTTCACTGCTTTACAGATTTCTTGAAGATTCGTTCATCTGTTATGATCCCTTCGCACCGGAGAAACGGTTGAGCCGCTCGATTGAGATCAGCAAGTTCATGGGCATTGATTAAAAATGCAGGCCATTGTGCTTGGGATCAAAATGTGCAGGATGCATGTCACCAGTCTGTGTCACATGGTAAGGATTGAGTTGTTGCAATCCACCCTCATTGAGTTTCTTGCACTGAAGTACGATTTTAGCTCGATCTTCTACACTAAGAGGCTGTGTGGTGAGCAACATGCTACATTGTATTCGATTCGATTCTGACAAAAATCCATTCTCAGCTGACTGCGCGAACCTGATCAAGGAAAGTCTACCACAAGAACTCCACGAGTCCATTCGAAAGTTGGGGCGCAGTTGAAGAGGTGACATCTGTCTGCAAGAGATTCAGAAGATTGAAGGCTTTGCTTGGTTTATGGTTGAATCGCTGCAAATTAAGATATGATTAGACCGTAGGAAAACATAAAAGCACAAATTTGCCTGTTTTCTCCCTCCTTTTGTCGAGATAGAATTGGTTGTTCAAGCACGAAGCTTATCATCACAACTGCATGCTTTGCTGACTCGCTACCTTGAACTGCTAGCAAGTCGTCTCACTCGTTGCGAGTTTACGATCGCTTCTGACCAGTAGAAACATCGCCCCTGTCTCGTCCCCCCCTTTGTCGGGCCGATTCCCAGACCAATTCCCTCCAGGCCCTGCCCGACTTGCCCACCCTGGCCACGCTCTCTCCTTGCTCGCTGTCCTCGCCACGGCTTGTCATGCTTCCTCAGCAGCTTCTCTCTTGTCTGCTGTCCTCGCTGTGATCCTCGTGCCGGCCTCCATCGCTGCAGGTCGCGTGGTGGGACCTCAAGTCGCGCATGGGCGGAGCCGCAAGCAAGAGCAGACCCGCGAGCAAGAGCAGAGGAAGACAGGTCGTCAAGGATGAGGCTCAGCTCAAGTGGCAACCGACTGAAGTTCAGCTGGAGCATGGGCAATGGTGGGGGTTGATGTGCAACGATGCTCCTGGAGAGTACGGAAGCCTCCGCAGGAGGAGCGAGGAGAGGTACACCGGGTTCTTTCAGGATGAGAAAGCTCACTTGCTGGGAAGGCTGGTGACCCAAAAAGGCTCTCGGTATGTCGGTGAATTCCAACAAGACCAGAGGCAGGGAGTTGGAACTCAATTCCAAATCAACGGAAACTTCGTACGGGCAAACTGGAGCAAGAATCTCCTCGACGGATATGGGGTTTCCTACCAACTTTCAGAGGACGGCAATACGTATGAAACTATCGAAGGCCTCTGGTCCAATGATAAGATAGAATGTGCGATAATCGGAGAGCTCGATAAAGATGTTAGCGATAACTTCTTGGAGATTCGAAGGAAAAGATTTGTTTTCTTCGACGAGGAAGGGAATGAAATTGAAGAACCATACTCGGCTAAATCACGGAGGCATCACGAAACTCGGATCGAAGTGCAGAGGATCGGAACTAAAGCTATCCATCTGCTGAAGATCTTCACCAACTTCCACGAAAACCTCATGGTCTCTATGGAACAGGTTGCGATGGAAGGAGATGGCGGTGAAAGACTCCAAACCGTCTGGGCAGAAGCGAAGTCAGCACTTCTCGATGAGTTAGCAGAGACAGACGACAAGGTAGAAGCAATCATTCGAGCCTCCAACGACTCTCTTCTCCGCCACGCTTCCTTAGCTTCCATCGGCGAGCAGGCGCAAGAGAGGGAGCGATCCGACAAGGCAGCCCATGACAAGATCGGCAACGCCATCTCGAGAGCCAAGGAATATGAACGCGAGGCCCATGAGAGAATGAAGGAGGTCAAGGCCCTTCAAGCGCAGAAGAACGCTGCTAGCAAGTCCTTGCACCTCCTAGAAACGAAACTGAGGAGTCTGAACGAGAACTTGAATGCGTCCATTGAAGAGAAGACTTCAGCTTGGCAAAACCATTCCAAGGCACAAGAAGATATGCAACTCAGCGAGATTGCGATGAATGAGATGCGTCAAAACCTTGAAAAAGTGCAGGAGAACATCAGAAAGGATACAGAGGATCTGAAGAAACTCAACCAGGACTATGACTTCTTTAAAGAACAGCTGCACTCACAGGCTTTCCATGGAAAGCAAGACGAGAATGATACAGACTTTCACCAGATGTTCAATTCCACTCTGACAGCAATTCAAGAAAGAAAAGAATCTTTGGCATCGAAGATCAAAGCTGGTAAATCCCATCTTCCACAGGTACTGCAAAGCACGAAGTTACTTGAATCATGTCGAATTGATGCCATCTAGATCAAAATGCAAAGTTTCAAAAAGGACACGGATTTTCAAGACAAAGAACAAGCAAGTATTGCTCCTAGATTGCTGGGTCTGAAACTTGCGCAGACGTTCTTAATGCTGGAGAAAACACTCCAGAAAGTGAACGAAAAATACGACGATTGTAACAGGCAAATCAATGAGACTGAGACTATGATTCGAGACACAGCAGATATTGTCTCCTCAGATTGACAACCTAAGAAGACACTCTGACATAATGTTCTCAGATGAAAGACCTGGATATCAAGATCGAAGAAGCCAACGCGGAATCAACTCGTCTCAGCGAAGAGTCTCGGAGGAGCCTCGAGACCGTGAAGAAGCTCCTCAACATTTCGGTTGTCTCCGAGCAGTCAGGCGACATCGCCGAGTATGAGGCTCAGCTGGAGGAGCTGCACAACAGGTCAGCTGGACTTCTCCTGGGCTACTCAGTGAGTGACAACTTGATCAGCCACTTGATGTTGAAGAATGAAATCGAAGAGACCCAAGACGCTGCTAGCCTTGATGACCTGATAGTACGTCGAGCCCTGAGGGCGCCAGGCTGTTCCTGAGATTTGTTTGCAGGACATTTCAGGAAAAGACTTCTTAGCCAACGCGGAGAAACATGATATGTGGTTCTTGGATTATTCCGACTTCGATCAACTTCAACCCGATGTTTTTATATATCAGAAACATGAAAGAAAAGCTCTGTATGAACTTATTTGAAAAGAGGTTGCACTAGCTGAGTCATCAAAGGTATAAAGGACAACTGAAAGACGGAAAAAGGCATGGCATTGGGAAGCTGATACAATTCCAAGCTTCGGTTGACATCGACTTGAAAGCAAATCACTTCATAGGTGCTGTGCTGGATTTGTGAGAGTTGCCTGACCGACGACTCGTCTCCTTACCTCAGGATCTGCTTTGAAAAGTCAGCAGACGGCTTTCTACGATGGCGAATGGCTTGAAGGGGCTCCGCATCAGCGAGGAGTGATGGAAATTCTCTCGTTCGGTCGATACGAGGGAGAGTGGAAGAATGGAAAGAGACACGGCGAGGGAAAGTTTGAAGACAAATATGGTGAAGGGAGATGAATGAAACTCAAGTGATCGTGTTGACGCAGGAAACGAGTATGATGGACAGTGGCAGAGAGGGTTAAGATCTGGTCAAGGAAGGGAGTCAAGAATCTCCGGTGAAGTCTACCACGGAGAATGGAAGGCAGGAATGAAAGAGGGCCACGGGAAGCTGGTCCGAGGCTCCTTGTACGAGTACGAGGGCAGGTGGAAGAGAGGGAAGATGCACGGGATAGGAACGTTGCGAGATAGACCTCTGTCGTACACCGGAGAGTTCAGGTGCAGACGTTGCTGTCCTATCGCTTGTCTTCACGTCTGCTCGCAGGAACGGAGAGATCGCCGGGAAAGGGCATATGGTCCTTTCGGAGCTAGAGGAGTACAAAGGAGAGTTCGCAGCGGGATTGCGACATGGCAACGGCATCATGATCTTTGAGGACGATCGACGTTACAACGGGGAGTGGCTGCGGGGCGAGATGGAGGGGTACGGAGTGATGTCCTACCGCAACGGGGACGAGTACAACGGCCCCTTCGTGCATGGGATGCGACATGGACCGAGAGGGTCCTATGAGTTCAAGGAGTTGGATGGGGCACCAGCGACGTACATCGGGCCCTTCGAGAGAGACAAGATGCGAGGGGTAGCCAAGATCACCTGGAAGGACGGCAGGTCGTACGAGGGGAACAATGAGGGAGGCGTCAAGGCGGGACGAGGAGTCATGTTGTACAGGGACGGCAGCAGGTACGACGGGGACTGGATGAACGGGAAGCGAAGTGGAATAGGGAAGTTCGAGTATGCCAACGGGAATGTGTATGAGGGGCTGTTCGAAAACGACGAGTGTGATGGATGGGGCAAGTGCGAGTTCAAGGACGGGGCCATGTACATGGGAGAGTGGAAGGGGAACGAGATGAATGGGGAAGGAACCCTGCAAGACAAGGATGGAGGGAAATTCAAGGGCGTCTTCGTCAACGGAAGACTGGAAGGAGATGGAGAGTACTCGCATCCTAACGGACACACGTACAGGGGAGAGTGGGTGGCCAACGAGAAGAGCGGAGAAGGGATGGAAGTGTTTGCGGATGGATCGTCTTACCACGGGCAGTACGAGCACGGGAAGGCTCATGGGCTCGGCATGGCGCTGAGGTGAAGGTGATGAAGACTGAGAGTCAGAGACTGAGGCGATGATCAGGCAGGACGGAAGGAAGTACACCGGGAGGTGGAAAGAAGGGTTGCGACACGGGGAGGGGACGGAGGTTGAAGCAGATGGGGTAGCACAATACAGCGGGGAGTGGGCCTCTGATCAGAGCAAGCTAGGGAAAGGGAAGATGGTGAGTAGAAGGAGAGACGACCAATGGAGTGATAGATCAACACGCTTCCAACAGGTCTACTCCGACGGCTCTTCCTACGATGGAGCATGGAGGGAGCAGAGGTATCATGGCTTCGGCATCTTCCAATCTGCTGGTGCCACCATGTTTTCGCACTGGCCGTCCTGCGCTGACTCTACGCAGACGGGTACAAGTATGCCGGCGAATGGGTCGAGGGACTGCAAGACGGGATAGGACGAGAGGAGCAGTGGAGGCAGGATGGGACCCTAACCTCGTCCTTCCAAGGAGAGTTCAAGCAGGGGAAGCGCAGAGGAAGGGGGTCAGAGGTCCAGCCTGACGGCATCGTACAAGTCGGTGAGTCATGGAGGAGCACGTTTGACATTCGAGCATCGATTCTTGTGCAGGAATTTTCAATGACAACAAGATCGTTCAGTCCCTCCTCAGCAGCTCACATCAAGGCACCACAAGTGCTGCTTCTCCTGCACATGTTGGGCTTGTCTTGTCCCTCGTCTCCCTCTCATCCTCTGACACCTTGCAGGCTGATGGAGACGAGCAGCATGGAGAGAAGGTCTGACCCGCACGAGGCAGCTAAGCCTTCCTCAGAGCCCGAGCATGGACAACGTTGGGAGCTCCTCGATGTGAGGGGGAGCAGCAGGGCCGTCAAGCTCTTTGTTGACGATGCTGTTAGTGAAAGGGACTTACCCATGCTATGATGCCGCCGAGCAGCAACCAGCTCTCAATATCTTTAGTCGCTCCTCGGTTGACTACTGTACATGCTGTGGGTATTGTTATGTTGATTCCCTCTGCTCTCATGCTACCGGACGGCCTCTGTGGCGGCAGCTCTAGATCGAGCAAGCGCATGTCGCATGCTGTGAGAATCGCATTCGAGGGATGATGTGCTGATGCCCCAGCTCAGCTGGAGGGTGAGAAACTGAACAAGATCCTCTTAGCTCAGCGGCGGCTGCTCCTCAAACCTCCTCAGTCACAAGGAGTACTCCCCCTCTCAACTTGCTGATGGTGGTAGTTGTCCGCTGTCTTTGCGGAACTCAACGTCATGCTAGTGAGCAGTGGAAGTTACAACGATGCAAGAGCCAAGATGTGTGGATGAAACTCTTCGAGAAGAGCTGCACAGAAAGCATGAGGGTGCGTCAGCAGTCTCCATAGACCTGCTATGAGAGTCGCTCTAGTACTCCTTACACAAGGGTTCATTGGAGACCAAAAAATGAAATATCTGCAAGTAATGAATGTGAAGGTTCGACAGGAGCAAAAGAGAACAAGTGGAGACAGGTCACTTCGCCTTGTCTTCAGCTGTCTCCTCGTCCTGCTGCACTGGATTCCCGTCGTTCTCGCTGTCTGCCTGCAGATTGTGCGCCGTGTCGTCGCCTGCGCTGCTCAGCCCAGGGTTCTCGTCGGGCTGCTCGACTGCAGCCGCTGCTTCCGGACGTTGGGGGCTCGGAGGTGGAGGCTGGGAGGAGCTTGAGGGTGAGGGAGATGCTTCTTCTGCTGGGCACCGCGAGGTAGAACGGATCTGCTGCAGCAGGTCATCGGCTGACAGCTCGCGGTTGATGTAGGCGAGAATGACATCGAGCTCCCCGTCTCGCCGCAGGGTTCCGATCCAGAAGTCGACGAGGGAGTCCGAGCACCTTGACAAGAGCTTGGAGTCCAGCGTCTCGTACGCTAGGAAGAAGACAAGAGGCAGCTTGTAGTGCTCGAAGCCAACCTGCTCCCCCCCCACCGCTCTCGTCAGGGGTTGATACGACAGCATGGACATCAACTTACCTCTCCTAGCCACTTGAGGACTCTTGAGACTCGCAGCCAGTTGTGAGCCCTCTGATTCAGGTTGTTCAATCGCTCTCTGAAGTTCTCGCTCCTCCTGAGCTCTCCGGTCACAAAGTTCACGACATCAGCCCCGTAGAAGCGCATCATCATGGCGTAAGAGCGCTTCATCCTCTCTCGGATCTGAGGGTCCGCCTTCATCCTCTCTGCCTCGTGCACCTGCAGGACCTGCGCGTTGGCGTTCATCCCCTCCTCGTGGATGGGGAACAACCACTGCACGTAACCATGGTGGGTCTCTAGCAGCCGCATGTCGTCCTTCCATTCGTTCAGGATCACTTCGATCAAGGCGCCATGGGGAGAGGAGGGGATCTCGTTGCGGTAGAACCGAAGGTTGGAGGAGCAGGAGGGAGCGTTGGGTACTCTGCCATCGTAGCGCCTGCGGTAGCTCCTCGTGCTCCTCTCCTGCGTCGCATCCTCCCTGGTTACCCTCGCCATGTCGCCCGCCCGTGGCCCTTGTCGGAGGGCTTGCACTCTTACGAAACAATTTGTGTATCGTTGTGGATACTTTTGACCCCGATTTTCACCACCACCCACCAGGTGCCCTTTACTACCCCCTGATTTCCCTCAAGTTCCCGACCACCACGTACTTCGTCCTCCCGACGATCGAAGTATTCCCGACAGTGCAGGAAGGGGCGAGGAGAAAGAGGGAAGGGGAGGGAGAAGAAGAGATCAGGACAGGTATCAGGGGGACGAGGAGAGACAGGCAGAAGGTAGTGGAGTAGCTGACGTCAACTTGTCGTACAAGCTGAGGAAAACATGGGCTTTGCATGATCGTAAGGTAGAGAGACGTGGTACGTACAGCGAGAGCTGGACGAGTCTTTGAACATGATGGAGGGGACAATCTTGATCCCCCCTGACGACTTGTCTGCCATCAGCCGTTCCGTTGTCAAGATTGTTGAGATGAAGCGGGACGACGATGTTTTGCAGGACTCCACGGAAGAAATGCCTCCCCGAAGGTGCCACTGCCTTCGAGTCCTTTGACCCTCCTTGACTTGCGCTTGTTTCAAGACCGAGCATCGATCAGGCTGGCTGGAAATCCTTCCTTGCACACCCATTCCGCTCAGCAGCAGACTACATGAAGCGACTGGAAGCGAACTTCGGATGGAAGTTTCTCGTCATGTTGCTGTCGGGTAGTGCGCCAAGTCTTTAAGAAGCTCACTCTGACTTGCTGCCTCTCCCTCAGCTTACTTCGGCGTCAAGGGAGCTCTCTACACATTCACAGGGTCCGTCTTCCTCAACCTCCTCCGCCTCCGCCTCCTCCTCCTCCCCGCTGCTCCTTCTTTTTCAGCTCCATGACCGAAACGCCCTCTCAGGCTCGTTCAGCTTCCCTACTATAAGAAGCTCGGGGTGGACGGCAGGCAGTATCAGATCTATGGCTCTATCGCAGTCACTCCCTTCGCCATGAAAGGATTCTTCGGCACAATCTCTGATGTGGTACTGCCTGCCTCCTCCAAATCCACGTCCTTGTGGACTTGAACCCTTTTTCCCTTTCTCTTGCTCCTTCCTTTGTCTGCCCCTTCCCTTGTCGTCCTCGATCTTCAGGTCACTCTGCACGTAGTGGCCGATGGCGGGATATCACAAGAACTCCTACATCCTCCTAGCTGCCGCCCTGGGCTCTTTGAGGTAACGTCAGTTCTCCTCGAGTCTTTCTTTGACGGGCTTGTAGCTTCCTCTTGCTGGGAAGTTTCAAGCTTTCTGCCGGCATGTCTGCTTGCCTCTTCTTCCTTGCGAGCGTGGAAACTGCTGTGGTGGACCTACTGTAAGGAGGAGGAGGAGGAGGAGGAGGAGGAGGAGGAGGAGGAGGAGGAGGAGGAGGAGGAGGAGGAGGAGGAGGAAGCTGGAGTCGGTGCTTTCTGAAGGCTAATCTCAGGTGCGAAGGGAAGTACGCAGAGCTGATGCGCATGCGACCGCATGTATCCCTAGCCTTGCTGCCTCTCTTGCTCACGTCCTGCTCAGACGGGAGGAGACATCGTCACCTGGGTGTGGGCGACCTACCATGTGGGAAGTTTATGTGCAGCTGGGATAACAGGTCAGAAGAAGCTCTAAGCTGTCCATTCTCCTTTGTCGAGACGATCTCGCGCTCCCTCCCCACTTAAGAGGAGATCCTCTGCTAGTGCCTCTCAGTGCCTCCTCCTCATCGCGATCGCTCACCAGGCCCTATCTCGGACAAGGGACACATCTCGAGTATCTTCTGGATCTGCTTTCCTATAGCAGCACAGGTGGATGAGGAGAGGATGGGAGGGGATGGGCGGCTGAAAAACGAGAGGAAGCAACAGCAACAGCAACAGGAGAGGGAGAGGAAAGGAAGGGCATCAGGGCAAACAGTCTTTTCCTGGTCGTCTGACATGCCGCAGGTCATGATTCCAGTAGCCCTCGGCTGGCTGAGCGACCCTGTACAACCTGCGTCGATGAGAGGAGTAGGGCGACGAGCTGGGAGGGCGCTGGGTTCCGCTGACGCTGCTTCACAGTTCCGATGGAACAAGTTCAAAGAGCACCAGAAGCTCTTCGGTCCGTTCCTGCTCCTCAAGTTGCTCCTCTTTGACATGCTAGCTTATCTCCAGGTCTTGCGCTCTGCATGGCCCTTGCCGCTCTAGTGCAAGTATTCTCCTGCTGCCCTGAAAGCGCCAGCTGACCGTCTCCTTCCTCGCAGGCGATCATCAACCTCTACTTCTCTAAGCAGATTGCCGTGCAGGTGAGTCCGGAGCTGCTCTCCCTGTGAGATTGACCCCGCTCGCTCCATCAGCTCGGCTATACCATCACAGTATCTGCCGTCCTGTGTGTGATGGCGTGAGACTTTGATTTCCTGCCTTCGCTCTTCCTCTTCCTCTTCCTCGTCCTCTTCCTCGTCCTCTTCTCTCCCCTCCTCTGCTCCTCTTCTTCACCCTTTTGCTGCTACTGATCGTTTCTATTCCAGACAATTTTGCTTACCTCGTCGTCTTGCTCTCTGCAATCTCTTCATGTTTTTGGACGCCGCTCTCTACGTTCAAATGTCGACCTTCCTCCCTTTCTCCGCCCAAAACTTCTTCCCCCTTACCTCCTTACCCATCTTCCGCCTCCTCTCCTCTGTCGCTTCTTTCCCATCCTTTCTCCTCTCTCCTCGCCTTGAAACTCTCTGTGCGCTGTGTGACGGAAACATCGGCAGAGGAGGAGCGCTCGACTACTGGTTCACTGCTGAGGTGCCTCCTCCTCCTCCTCCTCCTCCTCCTCCTCCTCCTCCTCCTCCTCCCCCTGTCATCAAATCTGACACTTTCGCAGGAGGAGTGCGTGCCTGGCGGTCCTCACTTCGACTACACCTACTACAGCACCTACGGTACCACTCATTCTCCTCCCCTCTCGATCTTCCCGACTTGCCAACCCTCTTCTACTGCCCTTCTCCTACTGCCCCTCTCCCTCTTCCTCTCCCTCTCCCTTCCCTCTCCCTCCTCCTCTCCCTCTCCCTTCCCTCTCCCTCTTCCCTCCTGTCCTCTTCTCTCCTCGTCACGCCTTGTCAGTTCGCATCGTCGGATCCATAGCCGCATGGGCCGGCGTCATCCTCTTCCAGGCGATCATGGGAAACTGGCGGCTACGTCGCATTTTCTGGGTCTCGGTGGTTCTGCGATGTGCCGGGGGGATTTTTGACATCCTCATCGTCAATCGGTGGAACCGAAGGCTTGGTGAGCAGGAGGGAGGAGGGAGGAGGAACGGAAGAGATAAGGAGGGACGAGCACGCAGGGGGTTGGGGCGAATGCTTGTGAGTCTCTGTGAGGGAGGGGAGGAAGGGATGGAGAGGGGTAAGGATGGGGAGGAGAGAAGGACAAGAACGAGATCGAGGATGTAGAGTGACTGGATGGGACAGGGATATCGGACAAGACCATGTACATGGTGATCTTTTTTGTGGTTCTCTGCATCGAATGACGGGAGGCAAGATCGGGGACGCCATCATCTACGAAGTTTGCTATACCCTCAACTTCATGCCTGCCGGTGAGCTCGTCGAGCGCGAGGAGAAGCAGAGGAGCTGACGTGGATCCAGTCGTTCTCACCTCGAAGCTCTGCGCGAAGGACCTGGAAGCCACGACCTACGCGATGCTCGTGAGGCAGCTTTCTCTCCTTCCTCTCCTCGCTCCTCCTCCCTCTCATCCTCGAGCTTGTGCTGACGTCATCATTCAAGGCCGGCTTCCAGAACTTCGGTCAGCAAGGTGAGAAGCATTTTTGGCGGTTTATTGAAGCCGGGATCAGCTAGAGAGGAAGTTTGACAACATGCCTCCAGTCTCCCGCACTGTCGGCGTCTTCTTCATCACCATCTTCAACATCCGCACAGACGCGCCTTGCAGGTAGACAGCAAGTTTGTCAGTCAGACTTGAGCATGTGAGGTAATCTTCAGCTGGGACGGCCTGTCTCTCCTGATCGCCGTCGCGCACATCTTCCTGCCTCTTCTCCTCGTCCCCCTCACCTTCTACTTGATCCCTGGTGGGGTCGAGCTGCTGCCTCCCTCCTGTTGTTGACGCTCTGCCGACAGATCTCAAGATCACCGACGATCTTCTCGGTGGAGCTCGTAGGGGGAGGGGAGACGAGGGGATCGCACTGAGACTTGTCGTGCCGCAGGCGGCACGGGAGCCCCGCAGGAGGAGGAGGAGGAGAGCGATAGGAGGGAGAGAGAGATGAGCAACGTGTCTGATCTGTCGATCAAGTCAGACAGGTCCGTCTGGTCCTGCTCAAACCAAGCTGACGATGCTGGATCAGAGCGCCTCTGCTGTAAAAGGAGCGTTTGTCCTCGTGAGGCATGTGGGGTGAGCGGAGGGGAAGAGGGAGGACTTCATGAGCTGCTACCTGCCCTCTGCTAGTCAAACAGACTCTGCGTGCTCCCCTGGTCCCGCAGGCTCGCCTTGCCCAGCTGGTGCTTGAGGTCGAGCTGGAAGGAGCGCTCGGAACCGCCTTGAATTAACTTCTTGGGCCGGAAGTTCTGTAGTATCTGGAACTGTGGGAGGCTCTCAGCGATCGACGACTTTCGGCTCCCGGGCGCCGACTTGGCCTCGTCCTTGTTGTTGAGCATCCGCAGGAGATCGTCCTCGTCCTCCGAGTTCCGAGACTTGGCCACTGATGCAGGCATCAACGTGTGGCTAGGAGGGAGCAGGAGCAGGGGCAAGGAAGAGGGAGTGGAAGAGGGACGAGGGACAAGGGACGAGGAGGAGGAGGAAGGAACAGGTTCACTTGCGACTGTTCTGACCTGGGGAGAGGCTGTTGGACCTTGGCAAACTTTGTGCTAGAGGAGATGTATTTGTGCTTGACCCTCCTGGACCTCGCAAGCTTTGTGCCAGAGGCGACGAGTGCACGCTTGACCCTCCTGTGCGCTTCGGGAGGGCGTCGAGGAGGCCTGGAGGAGGAGGGGGATGCTGGAGGAGCTTCTTGGTCTTGCTATCAACTCGGAAGGAAGGTGGAGGGCTCGTTTTTTCGCTCTCTGCGATTCTTGCCAAGGCTCTCCGGATTTTTTTTGCCAACTTCTCTGCGTTTGGGTTGTCTTCATCGGCCTGCAGAGGCGTGAGTCCTCCTCCACCACCACGACCACCTTCTCCTTCTCCTCCTTCTCCTCCTCATCATCATCCTCATAAGTGTTTGTGCCTACCTGAAAAGCAACAAACATTTGCAGCAAACTGTTGCACACGACCTCGGGCAATAAATTCTTTGACTCCAACCTGCGAAGAGGACGGTGGAGTCATCGCATCAAGGCCCACAATTCATCCTCTCTCACTCTCCCAGACGGTGAAACGCATGGCTCATGGACATGTAGTCCTCTTCCTCGGTGAACTGAGAGTAGGTTGGCTCCTCCTCAAAGCTCAAGTCCACTTGCTCGAACGAGGCTCCTTCTTGCGACGCAGGTCCTTTCTCATGGCTTCCACCCGGACGAGCATCCTTGACGACCTGAGGTCGTTGAGCTGAAGGCAGGGGACTGTCGAGATATCCTTGAACGATGACAAGACCAAGTGTCAAAATACAACCACGTGACAGCATCGCGCAAGATACCGCTGGATGTTGAGGAATGTGCCTTGCCAACAGCAGTAGTAGAGTCTCTATTACTGAGCAAAAGATGTCAATCACAAGTCGTGTCCATGATTTCAATAGCACTGATCGTCTGACGAGTGAGGGGCTCTGCCCTTGACGACGAGGACATTCTTGCTTCCTGTTGACATGCTGCTCTGGTTGTCTTGACTGGCGTAGCTCTCGAGGTCTTGGTCGAAGGAGGAGCGGAATTTAGAGTTCAAGTATCCATACCCCCTCACCTTGGAGTTGCGGATTGATTCGTTGCTGACTGGGACTGACCGGTCCAAACCCTTCATGCTTCAGCCGCCATCCGCACTGAAACTACTCCTCTTCCAAGGGGGAAAGAAAGCGATACCTGAGGCACTGTTAAGTTTGAAGATTTGGTAGAGATAAACAATCCTCAAGCATCTTATTACCAACCCCCAGTCATAGTGTCCTCTTGCTCCCTATCATGCTATCGCACTCTCATCTCTCCCTTGACACACTTCGCTCCCTCACCTCGCTCCCTCACCTCGCTCCCTCACCTCGCTCCCTCACCTCGCTCCCTCACCTCGCTCCCTCACGTCGCTCCCTCACGTCGCTCCCTCACGTCGCTCCCTCACCTCGCTCCCTCACCTCGCTCCCTCACCTCGCTCCCTCACCTCGCTCCCTCACTTGGCTCCCTCACTTGGCTCCCTCACTTGGCTCCCTCACTTCGCTCCCTCACCTCGCTCCCTCACCTCGCTCCCTCACCTCGCTCCCTCACCTCGCTCCCTCACCTCGCTCCCTCACCTCGCTCCCTCACTTCGCTCCTTCACTTCGCTCCCGGCCACTTCTCCCGGCTGTCTCAAATCATGTCATCTAGTCAAACAGACCCACCTCGCCTCCTGTGAGTTTCACTGCGGCCCCGTCCACCCCCAGTACCCCATGAATTACCGTATGGTACCCCACCCTTTGAGGGTTTCTTTACTGGCACCACCCTTGAAACTTATTCCTCCGCTTTTTACTCAAAGTTAAGTCAAAAATACTACGACACACTGAGTTGTGCTCTATGGGCCGTTGCTGTCCTTCTTTGCTTCTAATTGAATATCTGGGGTGAGCTCATCGCGATGCTACCGGCGGTTAAACACCAAGCGAAGTTCGTCCATGGCATGCCCGTAGGAAGGAGCTACCACTGCCGCTGTCTGTGACTCGGAAGAGAGTAGAAGTCGCGCAAGAAACATGAGAACGACGAAAGAAAAGCCGCGGGTGAACGGAGTGTCTGATAGCGAGGATGATGAGGAACTAGAAGCTCGTTTGGAAAACTTGATCTCTGATGCCATCCAAGCACACCGAACAGGAGGAAGTGAGGAAGATGAAAATGAATCGGAGGCGAAGCAACGCCAGAGTTATTCTTGGAGCCATTCCTACTATGCGGAGCTCCGACGATACAGGCAGGAACGCTATGATCTGATACGCAAGGCAGCAGCTGCTGAGAGCAATGGGAAGCTGTTTGATTCTATCGAACAATACAAGAAGCTGCTAGTTCTCAGCAGCGATCAGTTCTTAAACGCAGCTGATCAGAGACAGGCATGCGAGAACCTTTGCAGGCTTTACTTGAAGATGGGGCAGGTACGACAAAACTTGATTGAAACGAAGAACTCACGTACCAAACAAACTTGCCAGACGACAGAGTATGAGTATTTTCAACAAAGGATGAGAAGAAACTTGGAAGAAGCAAGAAATGTCTTTGACAATGAAGACTCGAAAGCCCTGATGAAGAAGATCGATGACAACCTGTCCAAGACCGGAGGAGAGAAGTAGTCTAAGTTGTGATCTACAGCTGATTCGTCTGTGATGGTCTTTCAGGCTGTCACGAGCTCCGGACACTCTGGCACAAGAGACGTCAGAGCATCACATGAGTGAAGTAGAGACGTTGGCAGCTCGTCTCAAGAAGCCACCGGAGACAAGGTTTGTTGTTTCAGTGTTGCTAGTCTCACCTGCTTGTGAAGGTCGAGCGAAGATGCAAACGCTATTCTCGAGGTCATTCAGAGCAACGCCTTCCTCTCCCAGCGATTGAACCAGGCGCAAATGCAAGACCTGACGAGGTTAGACGCCTCCCGTCTTGCGACCCTCGTGTAAGCTCTGATTGCTTCAGCATCGCATACCACGAGACGCATCAAGAAGGCTTCTACTTGTACAAAGAGAAGGAGTTCGCATCCAAGGCTTGGCTGCTGTTGGGATGTTCGCCCTTCCTGGAGGACTATGCAGGATCGGTTGATATCTACATGAGGACGGGAGCTGAGAGGAGCGACTGCTTGTCTCACGTCATTCACAAAGGAGAGCTGATCGGGAGAGGAGCGCTGGAGGGAAAAGCTTTCAGGACGGACACGGCGATTGTCAGCGACGACGGGCATGATGACGTCATCACCCACAACCACTTCCTGACCATCAACGTCGAAGATTTCACAACAGTCCTCCACACCTTCCATCACCATGCCTTCCGGCTGTCGCCGACGCAGACCAGCCTTGACTGCAGCTTCATGTTCCTTGGCGATGCTGTTGTGCAGGACTTGTGCTCGCACTTGGTCGCCTCCGACAATCAATGTCTGCAGATGCTGGTACTCAAGTACAACAACCTGACGGCCGTGGGAGCCAGGAGGATCGGAGACTTGCTGAGGAGCACGGTGCCGCTAGCAGGGTTGGACTTGAGCCACAACATGCTGGGAGACGAGGGTTTCAAGGAGCTTTACTCTGCTCTCAGAGAGAACTCAAGCCTTACGAGCCTCTCCTTGCGTGCCAACGGCTTGACCAACGCTTCTCAGCTCCTCCTCCACGACCTCCTCCGCCGCAACACCAGCATCAACGTCCTGGACCTTAACGACAACCTGGTGGACATGAAGTTCCTCCATGCCGCTTCCACAAGCCGCGTCAACGAGACCGAGGGCCCTGCCCTCAGAGCTGCTCGCAGTGTCGCTCCTGCACCATCCTCCTTAGCGTCGGGAGGTGGAGTGTCAACTTTCGGAGCAGCTGAGATCGAAGGCGTGCTGGCGAGGTTGAGACGAAAGCTGCTCGAAGACGCAAGCTTCACCAGGGAGGAGCTGGTGGAGAGGATTGAGGCGCATGACGCAAGCAGATCCCTGTTGCTGGAGGCGAAGTCCCTCATGGACGTGTTCGCCAAGTTCGGGATCGAGCTGGACGACCAAGACCTTGTCGCCCTCTCTTCCTCCTTCGGCATGCCCAAGAGAGAGGGTCGAGCCAGGTCAAGGTTCAGCTCTCACAGGCCGGAGTTTCAGTTCGCCTATCCCTTCCTTGTTCAAAGTCTCGTGGGGGGATGCGAGGAGGAGATGCGGCTCTTTAGGGAGAAGGTGGAAGCTCTAGGTAACCCGTGACCTTCCGACTGAAGCGATCGAGTCCCGTCCTCCCTCTCCTCCTCCTCCCATCCCTCTCCTCCTCCTCCCATCCCTCTCCTCCTCCTCCCATCCCTCTCCTCCTCCTCCCCTCCTCCCCACTCCCTTCCAGCATCCAGATCGCTCATCCTTGCCCCCGCCATGTTCCCCGCCATGTTGAGTCTCCCCGACACCGCTCAATTGTTTATCCCCCTCCTCCCGCCTGATTGTTGCATCAGCGTTGCAGTCAGGCACATCTTCGCCTCCCCTCCCTCCCTCCCTCCCTCCCTCCCTCCCTCCCTTCCCTCTCCTCCCCTTCCCTCTCCTCCCCTTCCCTCCCGCCTTCGAGGTTCCCTCCTCTTCCTCCTCTTGCGCTAGATCCCCAGTAAAATGCCCAGAGCTGGCTTCCTCCTCAGAGGCCTCGTGGTCGTCAGCCATGCGCTGATCCTAGGCGCTTTCCAGCGCATGCCTACATCCTCCTTCCTGTCCCCAGTCTTGCGAGCGTCCTCTGCCTGCTCGCTCCGTAGGTTTGCCATGAGCGCCAGCGATGGAGAGGACGAGAGAGAAGCCAAGAGGAAGAAGTACTTGTCTCTCTCCAAGGACTTGCTCGGCAAGGCAGCTAAACTGCCGCCGGGGTGAGGAGGAGGAGCGAGGGGAGGAAGGAAGAATGGGGGAAGGAAGGAGGAGTTTCTGTGGTGGTGGAGGGGCTGTGGGTGGGTGTGGAGGAGGAGGAGGAGGAGGAGGAGGAGGAGGAGGAGCTGGGGGCGACTGCGATGACTGACGGGATGGCAGTACATCCAAGACCATGTTTCTCCAGAAGGCGAAGAACGCCAAGGCCATGGCGGACGCTCTCGGTTACTCTACGAACAAGGCAGATAAGGACGAGCAACCGAGCTCGCAGCCCGTGGAGATTTCTCATGCGTCATCAGAGTCGGCAGAGGAGCTCGTGCGATTGGTGAATTGGGCATACCGGGGAAAGGATGGACGGGAAGGATGGACTGGAGAGATGCGCTTCATCGACGGCATCAGGATCGACATGCCAGCCATGCTGCAGGCGCTGGAAGATCCCAAGGCAACAGTCTTCGTGGCATCGTGTCAAGAGTGCTGCTGACTGTGCTGCTGCGGGTCGGGGGTGACCGGCTTGCCAGGCGACCCGTTGGATGCATCAAGGTCGAGAAGGTCGCGGAGGACATGGCAGAGGTGGGCATGTTTGCGGTCGATCCGGACATGCAGTCCAAGAGAATCGGCAGCTCTCTGCTGCAGACAGCAGAAGGTACCATAGTTGCTCCTCTGCTTCTCTGACTCTCCTTCTCTCCTCCCAGAGTTCGCACGGGAAGCCCTTGGGGCGAGGAAGGCAACCATGTTCGTGCTCGAGAACCGCGGCGACATCCTCTCCTGGTACTTGCGACGCGGTTACAAGCGGACGGAGGAGACGGTGAGAGCTTGCGAGGCAGAGCTGGTGAAGCCTTGACATTGACGAGCAGGCGCCGTTCCCAGAGGACCAGAACGTGGGCAAGCCCAAGATAAAACTTCAGTTTGTCAGGCTCGAGAAGGATCTTTAAAGCGCGTTCGCTGCTCCTATCTCTGCCAGTAGGTTTTCATGGTAAATTTACAGTCTAAAACTGAGAGCTTCACTGCTTCCTAAGCCGCTCCCGGTAACTTGCCTCCTCCTTCTTGGCCTGCAACGCGTCGGCTGTTTCCAAACGTCAGCATCTGCGCAGGGAAGGAGTGCAAGGACTCGAGAGGATGTAAGGGAGGGCAAGGTGAATCACGCTGCAAGGAAGATGAGGATAGACGAAGACGGGCGGGGTAGGAAGGAGGAAGGGAAGCAATGGGATCGACAAACACCTTCGCGTCCCATGCTGTTGAAGTTCTCAGACATGAACTTGCAGCACTCAGCTGCGATCTCTATCGACTGCTGCGAGTTAGGATTCTTCCGGCACAGGTCGAGCGCTGTTTGCGTCATCGCGATGGCCCTGTTGTGTCGGTCGCCACCTGTTTCTGCTCGCATGCATCGGGCCTTGAAGAACTGCGAGGCTGCAAGAGCGTCGATGTCGTTGCTCTTCCGCGCCACCTGTACCAGCCTGTCAGGAAGCAGCAGGAAGGGGCACACTGTCACCTCCTCGAGTTCTCCCGAGTAGACCTGCAGGTCGTGCAGCTTGTTGGCCCCGTCGAGCTCGAAGCAGAGGCTCAAAAGGCTGAGCTTCACTCCCGCAAGGTTTCCGATCTCTCGCTGGAGGTTCAGGCAATCCTGCTGACCGTCACCCGCTGGAGGCACCCCAGCTCTAGCTCACCTGCCAGGCCTTGCAGGCCGCGTCCGAGCTGCTGAGGCGGGCGTGAAGGATAGCCATGCTCTTGAGGACGTCGGCCTCGCCTATCAGGTCGTTGACCTCCCGGTGGATCAGCAGCGCGGACTCCAAGTGAACGATCCCCTGCTGCGAAGCACCCGATGCGATCCCCAGGTGCATATACACGTTGGCCATGGCGCGCTTGTCTTGCAACTCCTGTTCTCACGAGGAGGTACAAGGGCAAGGCAAGAAAAGTTTTAGAGAAGCATCGCTGAACATCGGCATGGTACCTTGAAGTGTGTCAGAGCTTGGTTCAGCTTCGTCATTCCCTCCTTCGCATTCCCTTGCTTGTACTCGATGATGCCCTGCTGTTGCTTCAGTGCTCCTCGTAAACTCTTTCAACAACCCCCAGGCCCCACGTCCCACCACCACCGATGCCCTCCCACCTCTGACAGAAGGCACTCAGCCACTCCCAGGCGGTTTCCGTGCTTCTTCCTCCCCTGCAGTCGATGTGAGAAAATGGTTGAGGTAACGGCGACCACATGACCTCGAGCGAAGCCTTCAGCTTGAGCGACGCCTCCTGCAGCTGCCCACCAGCCCTTGTCACTCGCACTGCACTCCCTTCACCCCCATCCGACATTCACCTGAGAATGCAGTCCCAGAACCAGGCCCAAGTTCGCCTGATAGGTCGCAAGAGCCGCAGCGTCGCCAACGGAGATGCTAATTTTTTCTGCTTGTTGAAGGCAGTCAACAGATCGCTCCCACTTGCCAACCAGCTCGTAGCCCTGCAGAACATTGAGCTTGAACAACAACGGAAGCGCACGGTACATGCGCAAGCTCTGAGAGAGCCTGTGAGAGCTCGTGCGGGTCCAAGAAGATACTGTTGTTCTCGAACTCGATGCTCTTGGCCAGAAACTCTTTCGCCTGCTCCAGCTGATTGATGGCTCCTTCGGTCTCTCCTGCCTTGATCAGAATGGTGCCCAGCAAAACTTCAGCTTGCGCTCGTTGCCGCAAATCAGCATTCTGAACCGCCAGCTGAAAGGCTGCTTCACAGGACTGTCTGGCAGGACCCAGCTTTCCGATCGCCTGCGATTGTAGTGAGGAGAAAGAGAAGAAGTTGAAGGAAGGAAGGGATCAAGAAAGAAACGAAGAGGATGATGGATTGAATAGCGTACAGCATAGGCGTTAGCAAGCTCTCGGAGGCAGTCAGCTTCAGCCTTGGAGTCTCCAAGAGTCTTTCTGATGTTGAGGGCCTCTAGCAGCTGATCTATCGCCCCGTAGGAATCTCCGAGCTTCATAGTGGCGAGCGAGAGACCAGCGAGACCTGTGGCCTCCCTAGGGGGTCCAAGTGCTCCTTGCAAATCTGGCATGCCTGGCTGAAGTGAGCCCTTGTTTGCACAAAGTCTCCCTGCGCGTAATGCACTTCTCCGATGGCCATGAGACAACTTGCAACGCTGCTGTCCTGCGTCTGATTCCGCGATATGCTCAGCGCGTCCTCCATGCATTGGATGGCTGCCTGCGTGTTGCCCTTACGGTAGTGGATCTTGCCCATTTCGAGGAGACACTTTGCTTCTCCCCTGCTGTCTTGGATCTCAGAGCACATCTTATAAGCCTGCTGAAAGTGTTCGATCGCACGGTTCGACATCCAAAGATCCCGATACAGCGAGCCGAACGACTTGATCACCATGATTTCACTCTCCACGTCATCGTACCCTCTCGCTTCCTTGATTGCATTAAGCAGCACGCCAGCAGCACTTGAAGGGCTTCCAAGCCTCAGGTATGCCGAGCTCAAAGTGCACATGAGCTCGCAAAGTTCAGAGGGAGATTGGCCACTCGTGGAAGACGACTGAAGAGAGACTGAGAGGAATTGGTTTAGATCTCGTTCAGCTGCTCTTGCGTTGCCGCAGAGAAAAGCTGTCAGTCCCTTCTTCCTCAGAGCGTCTTGCATGCCCTTCTCATCCCCAAGCAGGAGCCTCAACTGATAACAGACGCTGTAGCTGTCGTATGCTTGTTGGAGCTGGTCAATGACGGAGTAAGCGTTCCCAAGAAGCCAATGACAGTTCGCCTGCAGCCTAAGTGAAAACACGAGGAGTTCGCAGGAGAATTAGCAACTATTACCTCCTCCATCTTGTCGTTCTGATTCTTCAAGGTTGCCAGATTGCCTTCGTAAAGAGCGATGATCTTCAAGGCATCTTCATGCTTCCAAACCTTTCAACACCACAAGTCAGCGTGTGAAAATTCCAACTCAGACTGAGCGATAAAGGCGAAGTTCATCTCTTACCTTGAACAAAGATGCGATGATGCCCACCGCACTGGCTACCTTCCCTGGATTCTCCTTATCGCCCACCAGATCTCCTCCAATTCCTCTTCTGAGGTATTCGGTACACCGTGCGGTGTCCCCAAGTCGAGCGTAACACATCGCCAACTGATTGCAGATATCGAAGCTTCCTCCATCGTCTCCAAGCTCTCCATACAGCTGCAAAGCACGTGCCAAGAGCTGAGAAGCTTCTTCATATCGCTCTTGCAACATGTAGCATGTCCCCAGCCCTGCAGTCACATCCGCACCTAGCTCGACTCTGGTTATCGATCCCTCACGCCAGACATCGCCCAGGATACTTCCCGCCTGTTTGTAGCTCTGGAGAGCGGCCTCAACGTCTCCTTGGGTCAGTTTAATGGCAGCAAGTTTCGTTACACAGCGCGCTTGCCCTTCCTTGTCACTGAGGCTAGTAAAAATCACGTATGCTGTCCTCAGGTTGTTAAGAGTCTTCGACACATCCAGCTCCCGTTGAGCGTCCGCCAGCTGCACCAGCGCTCGCGCCTCAGCACCTCTGTCCTTCTTTCCACGGGCAGCGTGAACTTCTGCAGAAATATCCTCTGCCATGTCGTGCACCTCCACTACTGGGAAGGTCTCCTGCATCGCATGCACTGTCTGGACCGCCTGGAAGGCGTCACCCAACCGAATGTAGGCCACTTTCAGGCTCTGAAGGCATTCCAAGGCAGCATGTTTGTCTCCACTCTCTCTGAAGCCAGTAAGAGCAAGTGAGAAAGAGTTGATCGCCTCCTTTGTTTCGTAGTTTCGAAATTGGAGAATACCAATGTTTTTCCTGCACCTGAGAGCAAAAAAAACGAAATCAGTACAGCACAAAGTACGCATTTTATTACATACCTTGCCTCCATCCTTTTATCACTGAACTCATTCAGGTAACGCATTGCAGTTTCAAAAGCTTCCTTTGATTTCTCGTATTCGTTTTTGTATAGAAACACAGTCCCCATGTTCAAGTAGCAAGTTGCCTTGTTAGCAGACTCGACGTTTGTTCTGCAAAGTACAAAGGCCTTCTCGTAACACTCCATAGCAATGTCGTAATTTTTTTGTTCCGTATAGCATGTGCCAATGTTGATCAAAGTTTTGGCTTCGCTCTCAGGCTCAGACAAACCTTTCATCTGTTTTAAACTCTCTTGCAGGTGTGAGATGGCGTTGTTGTAATCTTGCCAGAAGCTCATACACACTCCAAGGTTATTGAGATTCTTCGCAATCGCAGCCGAATTGCCTTCGTTCTTAAGCTTCATCAAGTTTTCGTGATACAGCTTCACCCCTTCCTGGATCTTTCCCTCTTGTGCTGCCAGCAGAGCACGAAGGTTAAGGAGCTCCGCCTGTCCAGCTTGATCATTGAGTTCTGATCTCAATGCCATGCATTCCTCGAAGGCGTCTCTCGCTCGCTTGAAATTTCTGAGCATGCTGTAGACAAACAATTCAATGGGGGAGTGTAACATGCTCTAAAAGTACCTGTGGATGAAAATAAGCTTCATCAGGGCGTCAGCTTGTCCCCTCTTGTCATTCAAAGACTTTCGAACTTCCAGACACTGTTCCAGGTTCTCCAATGCAAGCGGAAAATCGTTCAACTTCGCGTAAGCTTGTCCAAGCTGCATCAGCATTCCTGCAGCTTCTCTCAGAAACTATTTCAACCTCAGTGAAGGAAGTCACCTGCTTCTCCAACTCGATTTCCTTTATCACGCAAATTGCTCAAAGCAAGACTGAAGGTCTTGATCGCTTGCTGTTCGCCAAGTTTCGTTTGGACACAGCCGAGATGATTCAAGCAGTCAATTTTTCCAGCCCAATTGAAGCTTGGATCCTGTGGACGAATTATTTTTGTGTTGATTACAACAGAAAATCTTACAGCCATCAATGCTGTTTGAAAGTGTTGTTTTGCCTCCTTGATATCCCCCAATGCAGCAAAACATGCGCCGATGTGCATGGTGCACGTCGAAATGGATGACTTGTCGTTGGTCTCCGTTAAAAGACGCTGCGCAGCCTGCAAAGTTCTTACATAATATCTCAAACACATTCATAGGCTCACCTCAAACCGCGCCTTGGCATTTGCAAAGTCATTGATATTGAAAAACAACAAGCCCATCTCCTGAAGACAGTCGGCAATCCCAAGCTTGTCTTGGATTTGAGTACGAAGGTCAAAAGATTGCTTCAAAGACGCCATTCCATCATCGTGAAGCCCCATCTTCCCCTGCACACTTCCAATATGCTGCAGGCACAGAGCTCGATTCGAGACGTCGCGAAGTTCCTGGTAAAAGGACATCGCTTGCTGGAGGAACTGCAAAGCGACTTGATACTCGCCGATGGCTGCGTTGGACAGACCAAGACGAAGTAGAATTTCGTGATCTGCTGCACCGTCGCCAATCTCTTGCGAAAGAGTGAGATGTTGCACGTAGCATTCAATAGAACGCATATGTTCGCCAAGTTGGAAGTCCACTCCTCCGAGGTTCTCGTAACACTGCATCATCGCAGCTTTGTTTCCTTCAGCTTTCCAAATGGCCAAGCTCTGCTCGTAATATTCTGCCGCAAGTCTCCACTCACCGGCAGCAAGATGTGCCAAGCCAAGATTGTCAAGACACTGTGCCTCTCCAACTTTGTCCCAAGTCTCAACCTTCCAATACATCTCAGTCACTGCAATCCACAAACTAAAATCTTACCTTGATTGGAAGACAGCGATCATAGGAGAAGATAGCTTGTCGTTTTTCACCCATCTTCATATATGTGTCGCCGAGGTTTTCGTAGCAAATGGAGATGCCGTTGTCATCCTCCAAGCGTTCGAACATGTGGAGGGCTTCCGTGAAGGCCTCGAAGGCTCGATTCAACTGATCCAACACCAGAAATTCCAGACCGATCCGTACGAGGCAACGTGCTTCCCCGGTCATATCTCCAATGTCTTTCTTGACCCGCAGACTCATCGTGTAGAACGTGACAGCCTTCTCAGGCTTTCCTATGCTGCTGTATACATTGCCGAGGTGATCCAGACAAACCGCCTTACCCGAGTGGGCACTGGCATCTTCAGGGGGGAGGTGCTGAAACATGTCCAATGCATCCTCCAAGCACTTGATTGCAACATCATGGTTTGAGTTGTGGAAATGAGCCAATCCCAGGCTGATTAAAGTGTCTACGAGCCCACTTTCACTGAATTGCCTTTGTATCTCCAAGCATCTTTCGTAAGACAAGACAGCCTTTTCCATATCTTCAGCTCGCATGTAGCAATTTCCTAGACATTTGTAGCATTCACACTCTCCAAGAACATCAGCAGTGTCCCGTCGAAGTGTCAAACTTCGATCATACTGCTGTATTGCTGCATCGACATCCCCAATGTCAAAATAGACCAACCCCAGACTATCATAGCAATCAGCTATTCCCCTGGGATCATTCACCTTCTGACGGACTGCCAAACATCGTTCAAAGAAATCAATGGCAAGCTGGTTGTCCTTTTGCATCTTGAAGACATTGCCCAGATGTTGCAAGCAGACTGCCTGGCCATGCAAGTCTGCGTTGTCTTCACAGATGACAAGACTCTGCTCGAAGTAGTCCATCGCACGAAGGTCATATCCTATGTCACAATATGTCAAGCCTAGCTTGTTAAGAGCCTCCGCCAAGCCAATCTTGTCGCGAGTTTTTCTGCGCAACACCAAACATTGCTCGAAAGCTTCGACAGCCTGTCGCACTTCTCCAGCTTCATAGTAAATACTACCCAAGGTGAACAGGCAAGACGCTTCTCGATTCCAGTCCTTCAGCTGTCTGCAGATTTTCAAACATTGTAAACAATGTTCAATTGCTTCATAGTTGTCTCCGTTGGCTGCACAAGTAAGGCTCAGCTTCATCTGAGCCTCTCCCTGCCCGATGGGATCGCCTTCGAGCAAGTCGTAGCATTCTTGAAAGTACTTAATTGCATGCTCTGAGCTCTCCAGAAGATTGTACAAGCATCCTAAGTTGCTCAAAGCAACAACCATGCCTTCCTTATGGTCGACCGATCTGCAAAGATCAAGTGCTGTCTCGAGGCATTGAAGACCCTCTGACTCCAGCCCACTTTCGCAGTACAAAAGCCCTAGTGAATTGAATCCTTGCGCTTCAGCAACTCTGTCTCCATCTAATTTAGCTTTCTCTATCATCTAACCGATTGTTATCAATTTTGACAAAAAAGTGAGTTGAAAATTCTTGCCTTCAGATATGTCTCGGGTTTATCATCCTCAGGCTTGTGCATCTTCTTCCTCTCACGCCTTTCTTGCTCGATTTGTTCTCTCTTCACATCTTCGTTGTACTCTGTAAAGACATCAGCATGTAGTACCACTACCAGGAAAAAAAATGTTTGCCTCCAATTCCCAGAAATTCATGAAGCTCACGACACGTAGCAATTTCTGGGACCGCCATAGCTTCATCTATAATGATGTTAGAGATATACATGCAAAAACATTCCTACCGAGGTACGTCTGGAGCTGTTTCCTGCGATCACTCACAAACTCTGGTGTCATTGAATTAAAGAGCTGCAAACGCAGAGCTTTTAATCCATGAGGGTGAATTTGCATCAAACAGAAACCTTATCCGGAGGAAATTGAATATTAAATGAAGAAAATTTTCGTTTGAGTTGAGCATCTAATTCTTTAAAGTCTGAAAACCCTGTGTAGCATGCATGAGAAATTTGCTGTCTCGAGTGAACAATGGTTTCCTACTTTTGCAGACACTCTTGACCTTGAAGGCGGTTTTCGTGTGCACAAAATACACAGTAAACGGCCTGGTGTATGGGCCTCTCGTTTCTACACACACACACACACGGGTTCAGACCATGAATTCGGCCCTCGCAAAAGTCCGACCTGTTTTGGTTATGACCGCCCTGATGCCACATTTCTTCTCGTCGTTCTTGAGGGTGTGTGAGACCCAGGCTTCGGCCCTCAGCAGAACATATGCATGCCTTTGCAACCGTATGATTATGCGAGCAGTGCAAGACCCAAAGACAAAACATACCAGGGACCACTCTTCGAAAGCTCACATCGGAAATCTGCTCCGAACCAGCGTCACACAAGGCGGCAAGCAACATGTAGGTATAGCGCGAACGATGGTCAGATTTTGAGGCGAGCCGATACACACCTGATGGTCTCCTGGGATTGTTGGAGAAGACGCTGTACTCAACTTGCTCGTTGAAATCACCAACAGTCATGTCGGCAACCGAACTGGCCACAAATCCAAGGAGAATCGGTGAGGATTCTTCTGCAGAAGAATGTCAAATCAAATCATTCACTCGTCTATGAGGCAGAATGAGATCAAAAATCCTGCTCTTTCAGGAATGTTGCAACTGCATGGCTGGCAATGGACCTAACTTGACTAAGGATTGCTCTCACAGCACTGCTTCGCAACTCAAGATACATACCACAACAACGACCCCATGGTTTTTCAGATTTCACACATCCGACTTCTGGGAACATAAGAATGCCAACTCTTATGAAGCACCTCGTGAAGAGATTCTTCACGATCAATGCAGCACTCGAGCTCCGACGTACTCTCGCAGAATTTGACGCTCCTGAACAGATCCCTCTCTCATATCCAGAAACCGTCCTCCTTCTCGCCGCCTTTTTGATCTCCTCGTTTCACCATCATCACGCTCAACTTGTGACCTACTACATATCTGTGTTTTCCTTGTTAACCATTCCTTCCTTCCCTCCTACAACTCGAAATTTTCTTCATGCCATTCCCCTTGCCGCGGCTTTTGGCTCCTCCACCCCGAGTTCCTGCACCCACCCGTTTTACATATGACCCCCAATCGTACATCTGTAACCCCTCGATGATATTTACTACCCCCAATTTGGACTGTTTTTGTCCGTGTATTTTGTATTGGTTTCATCAACCCCTACAGATGGTACCCCGATTTGTATTACCCCTACCCACTTTCTCGATCTCCACCCACCCCCTCATTACCCTCCGAGAGCTCCGAAACTGGCGCGGGCTCGCATCGGAACTGACGGTGGTCTCATTGTGTTTTATTCTTCCCTTTCTGGGTAGGGTACTAAAAGGGGGTACTCAGAAAGGTAAAAGTAGGGGTAATTTAATGCGACAGGCATAAATTCACACATCTTACGGGGTAGGGTGGGGCACCTCTTGAGTCGGGTAGGCAAGTTGGCTGGTCTGGTGGAAGTAAGTAGATGATTGCTAAGAAAAGTTTACTTAAGTAAGAAATATATTACCCATCCATAGAATATTTTCTTACTTAAGTGATTTATATGTGGGGAATGGGGTGGGTGGTTTGTTGAGCGACAGCGTGAGTGGTTCGCTGGCACATTTTGAGAGCACAGGATCATGGCACAACAACCGTAGGGGAGCGGCAGAAGGGAAGAAGAGGAGGAGGAAGAGCGCGAGTTGTGAGAGAGCGCTGATAGAGAGAAGGAGGGGTGAGTTCGAGCTGGATCAGGTGGGGCTGCATTGCAGCTGAGAATCGCGACAAGTGCGGACGTTCAGGAAACTGGAGGATCATCTCGAAGAGGAAAGCAAGGCAGGGATCGACATTGGGGAGACCTCTGAGCAGCTTTCTGGGCCGTCCCCGCATAGCCCTCGACCCGTGAACTCTTGTAGGGATGAAGAAGGGGTTCCTTTGCGCACCGAAGGAGACGCCTAAGCAGAGTGGCGAATTGAACAAGGGACGGGATGCAGAGAGCTTCATCACAGACACTGAGAAAGAAAATCACATGATGGAGAAGGAGAAAGCTTTTGAATCGAATGATGGAAAGATCAAAAGTCGAGCAAATGGTTCGACGGCAGAAGTCGTAAAGCAGGAGAAGGTCGCTCCAGCCCTTGCTCCAGCCCTTGCTCAAGCTCCTGTTGCGCCTCCTCCTCCACCATCCTCGCCAGAAATGGTCTCATCCTCCGCCGAACGGCTTGTATTTCAGTGGAAAGTACAAGCTGAAACAGTCAAGGCAGTTCAAGAGGCAGAGCAGAAACAAGCGGAGGATTGTCATACCCTTGACACATACCTGGCTCTCACTGAGTGCTCGGCAAAGAACTCAGAGACAATTGTCTGCCAAGGAGCTTGCTGCGAGAAGACAGCTGACGGTCATCTCATGTTCCAGACAGAGGTAACAAACTTTCGGTTTGCAGTCAATTACAAAGCAGTGGCCTGCATCAAAACGAACAAATGGAAGGTCGTAGAGGGCCAAGGGATCGAGATTGAGTCACCGGGTACAACTCCGAGTCGACCAGAGGCTCCGTCCGTCTCCGGCAAAGGCAAAAACCATCTAAAGTTGAAATGGACCCCTCCTGAAGCCAGAGGGTCGCCTGTTAACTTGTACGAAGTTGAACTTCGAGCGTTAGAGGGAGACGGTGCTGATGACGATGACACTTTCGTGCCATGGGGAAGTGCCATGCTTGTCCACAAGAGTCCAGACTGTAAGTGTGAAGTGAAGTCTTTGAAGCCGGGAACAGCTTATCAGACCAGAGTCAGGGCGTTCAATAGGTATGGAGCAAGCCAGCCCAGCCCTTGGGTTTGTGTCGTCACATCAGCTACCGTTCCGATGCAGCCTCCTCCTCCATATGTCTCCCAGGTGGGCTTGGAATGGATGTTGATTGCATGGCAACCACCGGAAGACGACGGGGGCACTACAATCAACCGGTACAGTCTGGAAGTCGATGAAACCTTAGAGGAAACCCCTCAGTTCACCGTCCAATACAATGGGCCCGAGAAGCAGTTCCTGATGAAGCCGGTTGTGTGTGGACGGAAGTACAGGTTTCGAGTTCGTGCATTTAACGCTGTCGGGTGTTCTCAATTCTCGAACGTGATGGAGGCGTCCGGGGTGTGTGGAGCTCCGAGCCCCCCTGGTCCCGTCCAACTGGCCGGCAACCTGACCGCACATGGCATGACTCTGACTTGGACTCCTCCCATGAAGGACAACGGCTCGGCCGTACAGCTCTATCAGGTGGCAATGAGGAGGATCCTTGACGGGATGCCCATGGGCTACTTCGAGATCGTCTACAATGGCCCAGAGCTGGTCTGTGAGGTCGGGAGGCTCTTCCCTGCCTGCGTGTACGAATTCTGTGTCGTTGCCATCTCTGCTCTCGGCACCAGCGCCCCGTCCCCTTCAACATGCATCTCCACGGCAGGGGCTCCTCCTGGCCCTCCCCCTCCTCCCTTCGTGCTGCAGAACGAGGTAGGTAAGCTCACCGTAGGTTGGACGCTCCCGGACATCTGCAACGGAGCTCCGGTCACCAGCTTTCGGGTAGAGCGAATCGTCTCTGACGATGGTGGGAGATCTTGCACTCGTGAGCTCGTACACGAGGGTAGCTCGATCTGCTTCTCGTTCCAGGGGTTGGCTCCCGGATCTGCCATCACCCTTTCGGTGTCGGCGATCAACATGTACGGGATTGGGCCAAGCAGTCTGCCGGCTACCTTTGTCACCCCATGCACACCGCCAGGTAGGCCAGCTATCTCACAGGCGTCGGCCTGCGGGGCGGGGAGGGCGACGATTCACTGGAACGCTCCGGAGGAGGACGGAGGAAGTCCAATCACGTTGTACAAGGTGTATGTTCATCTCAAGGGCTCGAGCCAGGAGCCCATACAAGTGCTGACGGAGAGCTCTCCCCTCACCGTTGACTCGCTCTCGCCGGGAAGCATCTACGTGGTGAAGGTGAGGAGAGGAGGGAGGAAGGAGCACGAGACGTTTCCTTATCCTTGTACAGGTTCTGGCCATGAATAGCTTTGGCAACGGAGACTGGAGCGAGCCTCTCAAGTTTTCTTCCGATCCAGGAGCGCCGGCGGCCCCCGAAAGCCCCGAGATCACCCGCGTCACCTCTCAGTCCGTCATGCTCTCTTGGCAGCCGCCAGTGCGGACCAACGGAGCAGATGTGGAGGAGTTCAGCCTACAGATGCTCGAGGTCGTGAGCTCCTTACAAGCAAGCGCGGGGTTCCAGACCATGTACACGGGGAGTCTGCGATGCTTCGAGGTGATGGGCCTGAGGCCGGGGACCAGCTACAAATTCCGCGTGTGCGCGAAGAACGCTGCTGGGCAAGGACCGTACAGCATCCCCGCGATCGGCACGACTGATGCCGTGCCTCCCGGGCCTCCACTTGCAGTGACACTCACGGGAGTCACGACCAGCTCTCTCAAGGTCCGGATCCCCTTCTCTTCCTCCTCTTGTCCTCCTTCCCCAGCTTCAGCCTCTTTCCCCGGACACATGCTGGACTGCAACTGGCATCTCTTCGTCCTTTCCTCCCCTCCCCCTGTTGATCCTCGTACTGCTTCGTTGTTGTGACTGAGATCGCAGGTCAAGTGGTCTCCCCCTGCCTTCGAGGGAGGGAGTCCTGTCACCTCCTACTCTGTGCTGGTAGCGGAGCTGGCGGATGACAGGGCGGACGATCGAGCTGGGAAGGGAAAGAAGCAGTCCCCTGGCGGCGCCAAGGAGGCGTGGAGGGGATCGGCTATGAGCTGCAAGGTCAAGGCTGCGCCGGACACTCAGTACGAGATCTTCCTTGTAGCCCACAATGTCATCGGGCCCGGGGTCCCTGCTCCCTCAGTGTTTGCCAAGACGCCTCAGCAGCAAGCGGCCCCTGTGAAGCTGAAGCCACCCCCTCGTCTTGCGGCCCCGACAGGTCTGGAAGCAGGAGGGAGGAGGGAGAGAGAGGAAAGGAGATGAAAGAGGAGGGGGGCCGGGATGGGAGGGGAATGGGAAGAGGGTGGAGAGGAGCGTAAAAGGGAACAAGGGAGAAGGAGGGAAGTGACATGCTCCTCCTGCAGTGTCTGTGAAGGGATCGCAGGTGCGCGTCAGCTGGCTGCCTTGCAAGGATGCCAACCCCCCGGTCCGATGCTTCAAGCTGGTGGCCGAGGAGCTGGGCAGCGCCAACAGAGACAGCCAATCCTTGGAGGAAGAGGAGGCTGCTAAGGAGCTCTATGTGGGATCAGGTGCCTTCTTTTTTTCCTTGAGGATGCTGGTGGAGGAGACTGAAAGCCAGCAGGGACCAGCACGGATGTGACGAGTTTGGTTCCTGGCTGCTCCTACAACCTTTTCGTCATGGCCGAGAACGACGTGGGAAGGGGAGCGTGGAGCCTTCCGACGTTGGTGCAGCTCAAGAGCATCCAGGAGAAGAAGAAGTCTAGGTAACGCTGCTGGTTGCCTCCTTCCACTGAGAGGCTGGCAGAGAGCTTCCTCCTCCTGTGCCGGCTGATCTCAAGCTCGAGAAGGCGACGAGGACTAGCCTGAAGCTGAGCTGGACGCCTGGCGGTGGAGAGGGAAGGGAGCGAGAAACATTTCAGCTTGAGATCGCGGAAGGAAGCGGATCTTTCGAATGTGTATATACAGGTAGGAGGAGAAGGACGACGAGAAAGGTTCTCCTCATGTTTCTTGCAGGAACAGACACGAGCTTCACCGTGATGAAGTTGAAGAACAACTGCAGGTCGGCGAGGAGGGAGGAGAGCGGGATGATGTGTATGAATGGAGGGGTTCAAGGGAGCGGCGTTGATGGAGAGAGAATGTAGATGTGAGGAGGGAGGAGTGAGAAGGGAGCAAGTAGAGAAGGAGGAGGCATAGAGGAAAAGGGAGGAAGGAGGAGGGAGAGGAGAAAGGAGGGAGGAAAGAGGAAGGAAGGGATGGAGATGCCTGATCAGTCTGCAGGTATCGAGCAAGAGTCAAGGCCATGACAAAGTCAGGGAGCGCCAGTCGATACACGGAAGAGCAGAGGTATGCATGCACGGCATGGAGGACGAGAGTCAAGAGTTGCGGGAGGGCAGAGGGGAGGATGGGGAAGGGAGCTATGAGAGGGGCTGGTATGTGACAAGTTCGAGCAGCTTCAAGACGCTGGCGCCTGTGGAGTCCAAGTGGAGGACACACGCGCTGTCGATTCTTGCCGTCCTGGTGCTCGTGGTCCTCGTCTACGGATTGTTGCGATCCAACGAGTAGAGAGGACCAGGAGAGAAGGAGAGTAACAGTCCGAGCTGGCTGAATGTTGTTATCATCAAACAGAAGGTGGAAGAATATGAGCTGGTCTACTCGCTCCTCCATCTTCGACTCCTTCCTCTCTTCATGCTCTTTCTTTCTCCTCGTTGCTTCGGAGTTTCACCTATCTCCGGGTAACCTTGGCTCTGCTTATCCCCTCCTCCTTCAGGCCAGTGCTGGCCCTTGGCCATACTCGTATCCTCCTGATTCTTCATCACTTGCACACCGGTAGACCTCAGAACCCTCACCCCAGGGAGACGCGATGGGCCGAAAACTTCCGTTCTCCTCCTGCTGCTGCTGGTCGTCAGGCCATAACCCGTCGTCTCAGAGTCCTCTCAAGCTCACCCATCCTGTCTTGAGCAGCCGCGGGGTCATCACCCGAGGAGCGTTGGGGTCGCTGAAGGACATGCTGGCGTCGGCCGGATGCCTGAGGATGGAGCTGGCTCCTCCCTGCTGTGGCGTTCCAGCCCGAGGAGAAAGCGGCGGAGGCGTGCGAGATTTGCCTGCGATCATAAGGAAATGAGACGGGAGAGAAGGAGAAGTGAAGGGCAGAAGGTGGCAGGACCGGGAGAAGTAGAGCGATCTTGACGAGGATCCTGGCCATGAATATTAGTTCAAGAAGAGGAGGGATGGAGGAGGAAGGAGGGAGAGGGTTGGGGGAGTTAGAGAGGGCGGAAAGTAGGGGGTTCAAGGAAGCAGAATGGGACCGTGAAGGGGGAAAGCGTCGATCTGGTGAGGAGGGAGGTTGGGCCCTCGAGCATCATGGAGCTTCAAAGTGAAAGTCAATCACAGGCAAGAATGGTAAGATGTACCGAGAGGAAGGAGCATTCCTGCTGGCGACAAGATCTTGCTGCACGGGAAATAACGAGAGGAAAAGGAGGAAGAGGAAGGGGAGAGGAAGGGACGGGAAAGCAGCAGGACCTGAGGTATCCATGAGCTCCTCGACCGCATCAGCCTGTAGCGTGCGAAGTTCTTAAAACCGGTCCAGGCCTGCACGTCTTTCCTCATCGACGGGTTAAAAGAGCTTCAGCTACCATAACAGCTAAGCTGGACTTCGCAGTGGGGTCGCGCTGGAGCTCGAAGTCGAGCTTTGCGCTGGTTGTGTCGATGAGCTGACTGCCCAGCTCAAAGCATCTCACCTCTGCGCGATGTACTCGAAACCTTGCTGATCCATGAGGCCGAAGCGGACGCAGCTGCGATGATGTAAGGGTTGACGTCAGCAGGAGGTTGAAGGAGGAGGAACAACGCAACCCCATCAGTGGGACCAGAAGGCTCCGCCGAGAGCTGTCTCCGGCTGCAAAAGCAAGAATCACCGCACGTGCGAAGACAGAAAAGAGGAAGGCGGGGCAGAGAGGACGGGAATGGGGATGTGAGGCGGGTCAGAGGAGAGAGCCAACGGATGACCTGACATCCAAGTAAGGGCTGCCTCGAACGTCGTGACTTCGTTCTCAGCTGGGAGGTTGTCATCGGACAGAAACTCCAACACCTGAGAACTCACTAGTCACCAGGTGTCACAGAAGGGAGATTCTTCCTCACCCGGGCCGGTTCCATGGACAGAAAGCTCTGTGTTATCATACACCTCAGAGTCGAGAAGCCAAGGTTTGCAGACTCAGATTTCTTACCTCGGACTTGAGCAGCATGTCGGTCATGTGCCCTTCCCACGACTTCCTCCTGCACTACTGCTTCAGTCTTGCTGGTTGACCATAGCGGCCCCCGTGGACCTGTCTTGATTTCTTGGTCTGCTCTGACTATGAAGAACAACCTGTTCAGGCGCCCTCAGCCCCTCCCGTCTTTGCAAGCAAGAGTCTAGCTCTCAGGTGGACCGACTTCGAACTCGTTGGTGACGGGCTCGATAGGATAACTCATGTTGGCGTAGCTTTGGAGAACGTTGTCTGCCTTGACCCTTTGCATATCTTGTTCCAGCACGAAGATGCTAGATCTTGTCAGCTCCGCCACACCCGTGACACAAGTTGGCTCACTGTCTGTTGCGATCTCTGACCATGGTGATAGCCTCGTACGCAAGAATCCATGGAGAGGAGCATCCGACAAGGATGAGAAGGCCAACCTTGCAAGGATCATCATCAAGTACAACCTTGACGGAGAGATTTTACCTCTAAGATTGCTTGGTAGTGATTTTGCTGGCAATCAGGTCTGAACGCTATTGAAATAAGGACAGCAGCAACGATGGCGAGGGACCACAGAAGGGCAAAAATGAAGAAGAGGACAAAGTTGCGGATGTATGCTGATCCAATGATTCCTGGGAAATCATGAGTTAGAGCTAAAGAGATTGTTTTGGCTGATGGGATTCGGATGAATGTAAACATTCGTAAAGATGAATGACCTATTGAGAATATGATTTCCACACAGGCGATGACTATAGCCCACGGCAACCAATATGTTCCATCGGGATCGCACGCTTCTATGATGATATTCGTCTGAAAAAACTCGATCATGAAAATTATAATACCATGATCCCTACCAGGTATACGCAGAACTGAAAGACTCCAAAGAAGATCATGCCATAGTGAGGAACAAGCTGCAAATGAGTGTAATTTAACTCCTGATAGTCTCAGGGTTGCTTTATGTTTCTCACCTTGCCCAGGGACTCCTCAGGAATTTGTAACGGTTTCTGCATGATTCGCTACAGCCTGACAGTGCAGGTTGGCCGATGAACAACAACCTGAATCAGCCCGTATCACAAATCTTACAAACTCGAATGAGATGCTTCGATCTATGCTTCAAAAGATTCATGGTAGGACGCCAAGATCAATATAGGAAAGGTGAACAGTAAACTTCAAGAGAATTGAAGCGCAGTGGAGGAGTGTAGAAATGTTGAGATCAGGACCGAGGGAAGGAGGGAAGGAGGGAAGAGAAGGTAGACACAGAGTGGGGAAGAGAGAAAAAGAAAGATGGGGGAAAGGAGGGAGCAGCGAAAGAGCGGAGAACAGGAATCATAAAACATATTCAGAGCATGAATTTCGAATCCTACCACCACGAGCACTACCCCCGATGTTAGGAGTGATATTGGGGGTAGTAGCGATGATAAGTCGGTTCCAAATTTGACAGGCTGGCGCGTTACGGGGCAAAAGCATGGGCCTGCCTCAGATATTTGAGATTCAGGGGCATTGATAAATGATTAAGAAATTTGGATAGGAGAAATATGCTGCCACTGATCCCAGCAAAGGTCAATGCTCTAAAGTTACTTATCATTTATCAACAGTACAACTACCCCTCCGCCTCAACCTATCTCTCTAAAATCATCCTGGCTATTTCCGCTACAGCTGCGGTGACAAGTAATGTGCGCTTGTTTGCTGAGGGATGCAAGGTACTTCCTGGGCACCTTTGAGTGTGTCCTCTAGAAGAGTGTAGCCAGTGTAAACGTGCTTTCCATGCAATCTGTGCGGGTAGCACGGAGGATTTTGAGCAGACAGGAAGGTGTGGACAATCGCAATGTTCCATCATCACCAAAGCTGCGCGCAGTGCCGCTGATATGACAGGCCAGGAAGTCCAAGCCGCAGTCCCGGCAATCGCAGTCTCGGTAACCGGTGACTCGTCTCCCGGATCGTCTCAGCGGTCAGCACTGTCACAGCCGCGGCGTCCGCGTCCCACGCTAGACATGCTGAAACTGCCGATCTCAGTCTTCACAGACACGCTTATAGAAATTCCTTTCAGTAAATTGTTGATATGCACTCGATACAATTTCTTTGTAATTTTCTTGTGCAGCTTACTCCTGATCTATTCCATGTATCAGCTCGCATTACTACTCTACACCATTGTATCCTCCTTCCCTTCCTCCTTCCCCGCCTTCCTCCTCCTCATGATAGCCCCCCGTCCTCGCTCGTCGTCATGTACCATGCGATCCACTCCGGATCCAGCGGCCCCGTCCCGTCCTCTACGTCTTCGTCTTGTCTCCCTCCCGTCCCCGTCCTCCCCGAGTCCCGTCCCCGCCGTGGCTTCCGCTGTGCAGCAGCGATCTTCTTGTCGCCAGACGCCTTCCGCTCGTACGGCCATCGGGAGATGCCGAGCCGCCGGCGCGCGCTCTTGAACGCCGTCAGAGACAGCCCCTGTAGACCAGTCAGAGCTACCTCGTCAGACACAGGGCAGCATCGGTACCAGGGAGGCGGCAGCCTCAGTCTGCGGGAGGTGGAAGAGGGCTTGGATGGTAGAGAGCTTGAGGTTGACGCCTCGGCTACCCTTGTAGAAGAGGAGGGCGCCATGGAGGGCTTTTCGTCTGGGGAAGACGCGGACGGCAGGGGGCATGGCAGGGGCGGGGATGTAAGGAAAGTGGGGGGAAGGTTGTTTTACACGGCGGTTTTAACTGAAGAAAATCAGTCACGAGGACGCGTAGAGATGCGACCGGGTGAGCTTGCTCCTTGGTGGATGAGTAAAACTTTGGTACCAAGTAGAATGCTCTACCAAGTAGAGTAGGGCACGCACTCGTGTCCCTTTAGACCCTGACATTGCTACAAATGAATCGATGCAGATGTAGACTGACAGATGCCCATGCATGCGAAAGACATGATATGCTAATCTAGGACTTGATCTCGGAATCTGAGACATACACAATCTAGGAATCTGATTCACTTGTTGAAACTGCCGAAGGATTCGAAGGGACCGTTTCTGTCATGAACTAAATTTCAAGACCAATGGGTTGTCCTCTCAGCTGCTCCTTGTGTCACTCAAGGTCGGAGCAGAATACCTACTTCCTACTACCATGCAGTGTATCCTGGGCAAGAGTTCCTTCTACGACAGGTAGGCACCAGTGACGACACGCGTTCAACATCTAATTGAGCATCAAGAGCGGGGGGTGGGGGAAGCCGATCATTATGCAGCCAACAGGTACATCCTACCTGATGCAAGAATCAGCCGTGATAGGGTGGGATAGATTCGTCTTTGTTCAATCCTGGATCGCGACGTGCTCATGGTAATAGCCTTGCCAGTCCTCACTTCAGTGTCCAGATTGCAACCTAGTCCGTGGGTCGATCGGCTTTTATGGTTTTCAGCTGCTGCTTTCTCTGAGATTAAGCTTTCAAGAATCCTGCACAACTCTGAGATGCAATCAAGCGTTCCATTGTCTCCTCTATGCGAGAAGAATGTTTGCGTTATTCATTCAGCCGACTCCTTCATGCTATGATTGCATAATGTTACAAACATCATTACTACTCTACACCATTGTATCCTCCTTCCCTTCCTCCTTCCCCGCCTTCCTCCTCCTCATGATAGCCCCCCGTCCTCGCTCGTCGTCATGTACCATGCGATCCACTCCGGATCCAGCGGCCCCGTCCCGTCCTCTACGTCTTCGTCTTGTCTCCCTCCCGTCCCCGTCCTCCCCGAGTCCCGTCCCCGCCGTGGCTTCCGCTGTGCAGCAGCGATCTTCTTGTCGCCAGACGCCTTCCGCTCGTACGGCCATCGGGAGATGCCGAGCCGCCGGCGCGCGCTCTTGAACGCCGTCAGAGACAGCCCCTGTAGACCAGTCAGAGCTACCTCGTCAGACACAGGGCAGCATCGGTACCAGGGAGGCGGCAGCCTCAGTCTGCGGGAGGTGGAAGAGGGCTTGGATGGTAGAGAGCTTGAGGTTGACGCCTCGGCTACCCTTGTAGAAGAGGAGGGCGCCATGGAGGGCTTTTCGTCTGGGGAAGACGCGGACGGCAGGGGGCATGGCAGGGGCGGGGATGTCGAGGGAGTGCGGAGCAACTGCTGTGCTAGGTTCTAGTGGGAGTACAGAAGCTGTCTTGTCTCGTCTCTTGGTACCACCCCTACCCAGAAATCCACGCAAACTTCTCAAAACCCCTACTACAAGGGGATAGACATCGAACGGGGTGGGGGTGCGGTGTGCAGGGGAGGGGGGG